TTTGCAGCTTTGGAAAAGAGATGTATCTGGGATCTAATCCCACTGAAGGAAACTAAGGGGAGTAAGGTTCTTACAGGAAAATGGGTTTTCCGTGTGAAGACAAAGGCCAATGGTTCCTTTGAAAAAAATGAGGTGCGATGGGTCGTCCACGGCTGCAAGCAAACTTTTGGACTCGACTACGAACTAACTTTTGCTCTCGTCGGCACACACACTAGTGTCCGCATCCTCCTTTGAATCGTGGCCTACCGGAACCTCAGACTTCGCCAAATCAACGTCGCCAATGCATTTCTATATGCACCTGTCGACGCGTTAATTCTGATTGAGTACCCGCATTCTTACGAAACTAACCCTCCCAGCGTCTGCCATCTCAAAAAGACTCTCTACGGCATTAAACAGGCTCCACGACTATGGCAGCAGTATCTACACCGTCAGTTACTAGCTGCCGGGTTTCGTCAGCTTCCACACGACCAAGGAATGTACCTACTTAACGACGGTCTTGACTACATCCTACTCGTCGCTTATGTCGACGACTTACTCTACAATAGCACCACCGATTCTCTCGCTACTGTCTTCGAACAAAAACTTCAACAACATCTCCAGATCACTATCACCCCTTCAGTCACACAGTTTCTCGGCCTTAACATCCATCGAACAGCAACTGCTATTCATCTTATAGCTTCCAAGTACGCAGCTACACTAGCCGCACGCTTTAACCTCACACCTTCAATTGTAACCACACCTTACCGATCTCTACCGACGGACTACAAACCCGATACCACTCTACTCGATAACACTGAACTACACCTTTATCAGCAACAGCTGGGTTCTCTTCTATTCGCAGCTGTAACGTGTCGTTCGGATCTCGCCTATGCCGCTAGCCAGCTCGCGCAATTTCTGCATCGACCTGGGGGGGAGAATCGGCTATATCTTCTTCGCGCTCTACAGTATTTTATTTCGACACCTGAAGTCAGACTTACCTATCAAGTCAACACTACAAAAACTCTTTATCTTAACGGGTGCGTCGATGCTGATCATGCAGAAGATACTTCTAATCGTCGATCTCGCACCAGCTTTATTTATCGTCTCGAAACTATTAGGAATATCTCCAGGAACTCTACAAAGCAAGAGCTCGTAGATCTATCATCTGCTGAAGCCGAGTTCATAGCTGCTTGCACAACTACTCGAGAAGGTCTCTATCTACAAAAGCTACTGGAGGAAGCGAAATTGACGACAAAGTACACAGTTCACCCTGCAATGCGACAACCAAAGTGCAATCATAATTGCGCACCAACCCTGTTTCGCCAACAAGACGAAACAGCTTTCGCTACGACATTTCTTCGTCAAAGATGAAGTTGAGAAGGGGAGAATGCGATTGGTCTATTGTTCGACCAATGAAATGGCTGCAGATTTCCTCACCAAGAAGCTGACACGTCAGAAGTTCCAGTACTGCAACGAACTGTACGAAATTATCAAGAAGTGACACTATCGGACTTCCAGAAATGAAGGGAAGTGTTGTGATAAATCGTACTCAAGCATTTCTGTAAGTAGTTCCGATAGATATTGTCGAGTTACACTGTAGTTAGCATCCGTAGAATGACGTCAGCAAATAACACTCGTCTGGATGGTTACGTCAGCAGGCCGTTTAAGTAATGCAGTAGCGATTAGAGCGCATAGCGCAAATAGTTTTGGACACGTACATTATTGTACAGATTTTCTCTAGCAGGTATAAGAGTAGCTTGTATGACTTCAATTATTAGCTTGTTCTTGAGTAAAATCTGGTCAACACTTACAAGTTCTAAGACTTCCGCTGTCTTACTAGGCTACCATTCTAGCAAAGATCCTCGTTCAAGTCTTGAAGTATCACAAGGCTGTAACACTGATTCTGGTGTTACATCTTGTTAATACTAGTTGTTACTGGGGGTACTTCCAGTATTACTTTCTACTTCAATTACTTGTTTCTGCAGATTCTATACTTAGTCTCCTGCACTGCTTTTCAAATTATTAAAAAAAAAGGAGAGCAATATCCGCGTAAAAGGCCTGATACCTATGGGCCTGCCTCTCACACCCCAAACACCCACAAAAATCAGCTAAGTCTTCCATTTCTAGAGACATTCTTCCCACACCCCTTTCCCCTGAAAATTTTTGTCAAGTCCTCTTAGCGAGTGACACAAGTCCCTCAACAACCAATCACACACTTGCAAGGACCCATCGCCGACAAGCCGATGTACTGTACATGCATTGACCTTTGACGTGCTTTGTCGTACAGCGCCAGCCTTGCTTGCGACTCGTCACCAAGGCATATTTTTTACGGAAATTACTAGGATTTTGGCAAACTAGCAGTTGATTTTTTCGCTGAACTCGGATTCTAACGGGTGACTTATCCAAAAATAGGGTTTGTGTTAACGAGAGAAAATATTGATTAGAATGAGAGATACGAGGTGCTTTTGTGCTAAGGGGTTGTACTCTCTAAGAGTACGCACCTATCTACAGTAGCCTATAAGATACATATATATGTTTTAACACTCCCCCTAGGCTAGATGAGGGGCAGTGCCCGGCAAGAGACACACAACTCAGGGTGGCACTACTAGTCCAACCTCTGAGACAAACTAAACAAGGGCAACTCAGGGCGGTACTACTTGCCCAGCCACTGGGACAAGGTCCTCAAGGCCAGTCAAGATAATATAGAAGTAGTACACAATCAAGGTCCTAGCAACTGTGAAGCTACAGGAACTAGACCAAGCTGTACACAGTGTCGCTGATGATCTTTAGGTGCAAGCGCCTTCATACAGATATCAAAATGGTGGCAGCGGAAGCCAATTGTACTACGCGGGCGTGGCGGCGCTGCTGTAGCTCGCGCATGAGAAAGTACCGCAGCTGGATGTGCTTCGCTCCTGACACAGGAGAATCATGGCCATGTTGTCAGCGTACAGAACCAAGGCAGAGCTAGGCCGCTCACCTAAGTCTGTGAGCAAGAAGGTCAGCCAGCGGAGCTCCAGTGCCGCCATGGCACCGGCGTAGATCTCAGCCTCACAGCTAGATGGGGCAACAGACGACGAACGAGTGGACCGCCACGAGATGGCGCCTGCACCAAGGCTAAATGAGTAGCCCTGGGAAAACCTCAGGGTCTCAGTGTCGTCTGCCCACGAAGTGTGAGAGTACGACCCCGTTCCATTCCTCTCTCCTTTCCATATTCCCTTTCCATTCCATTCCTCTTTTTATCATGATCCATTTGTCGTTATCTCATTCCATTTGGATTCCTATTTCTCCTTTTCCATAAACCTTTGGTTTATCCTGTAATTATCATTATATCACCGACCAGGCTCGGGATGTACTGGCACGCTATATCTAGCGTAATCCTGCCGTAATCCCTTAAAGCCAATAGCCTTGCGTGGCTATACGCAGGGTGATTCTATATTCTAGAAGGGTCTATTCCCTTGGGATAAGATAAACCTGGTTACCCGGCGCGCAACACGAAATGACAACGGTGACGACGTTGCACTCGCAGCAGTTTCTTGAGGCTCCGAAACCGCGCCCACCTGAGCCGTTCGATCCGAGCGATCGAAACTCCGACGCCCGCAGATGGATCGCCGGCATGGAGATCTACTTCGCACCCGTCAGATGGAGCTCGCCAGTCTGGGACGGTCAACGCGTACGACTCGCGGCGACACTAATGCGAGGACCGGCACTCAAGTGGATCGGCGGTAACAGCACCTTCATCCATGGCGAAGCCACAAGGCAGCAGTTCCGCACCGACCTGCTGAAACGTTTCGAGCCGATAAATTCGGGTTTCCTTGCCCGGGAAAAAATTCATCGCCATCGACAGTTCGGGAGTGTAGCGCAGTACACGCAGCAGATGGAGGAATTTTATAACCGAATTCCCGACCTGACCGAAGGGGAAAAAGTACAGTCGTACCTCGCCGGTCTGAAGACCGAAGACAAACGACAAGTGGCAGCGTCAAACTACGCGAGCTACAGTGACGTTGTATCGGCCGCGGAACGCTTCGACATGGTCAACGCCGGGACACGACGGGCGCACGTCGGCAGTATGCGACAGGGCGACCGCTCGGCTCACCCCACGTTCGCCGATCCGATGGAAGTCGACAGGTTCAAAGGGCGGCCACGTCCGAAAAACACCTACTTCACGTGTGATTTTTGCGGGGTGCCGGGTCATCGAATCTTCGACTGCAACAAAATGAAAGCCGCACGCGCTGAGTATCGGGCACGCAACAGTGGCGGAAATCCTTCGGACAATCAGAAGCCAAAAAACGGGACTCGCCAGTAATTGCGGATCTAGCTGGCAAAAAAGAAAAGATCCGAAAGCGGCCGCGGACTTCCGGAAAAATCAACTTCGACGCAGCTGATTCGACGCAAACAGGAGAAAATGATGGGGAAAAATCTCCACCCCACGACCAGTCTTTGCGAGAGGAAATCGCCGAGGAAAAATCTAACTCCGCGAAAAAGGACTCTGCCGAGACGGGGAAACTCCTTGAAGACCCAAGAAATTATAAGGATTCATTTAAGTTATCTTATAAAGATGCTTTAATGAAAACTTGTAATTCTCGAGGGGCTAGAGCCTTGGAGAAATTACGAGAGGGACTCCAGAAGAAGCAGAAAATTGTGGAGATCATACCGGTACCGGAGAACTTGGGGACCAAATTAAGGAGTGTGGAAAGAAGCCGACCTTTCCACGGAGTCAACGTCCTCTCCCGACACCAGCCCACAGCGACTACCCGTTCCCCAGGGAAGACGTCGGTGGAGCTGAAGCAGCTTAAGAGGAAGCTGGGGGTCTACAGGAAGCTGCAAACCCTGAACTCCTTCTTCGGATGCATCCAACTCGGCAACTTCGTCAACAACACGAACAGTCATCACGGAAACTCCAGGCCCTGGAGAAGAGCCTTTCTCCAAGCAGCCTCGGCAAGCTGCCAGCTCAGGAGTAGGAAGCAACGAATATTGGGATGTACCCTATGACCCAATCAATGAAACTATCTTTGGGTACTCCGAGCAATGCCTGCCCCTCGTGCTCAAGGTCATCTGCAAAGGACGACGCCTCCAAGCACTCGTGGATAGCGGAGCATCGCACACCGTATGCGACAAGGCAACCATCGACCGACTTCGAGGAGAGTACAAGCCATCGGCGTTTTCTGCAACGATGGTGGACAGCAGCAAGTTACCAGTGTACGACGAAACAGTGCTACACCTACAAATCGGGCCACTGCGGTGGAAGCCTGCTCTCCCCATCGCCAACATAAAAGGGCTTGACCTGATCTTCGGGCGAGACTTCCTAAAACGATTCAACCCCGAGATCAACTAGGTAAACCGCACCGCAAGCATCTACAACAAAGGAAGGAGATTCCAGCTACCCAACTGGGACGATACAGGAGATATCCAAGTGGAGACACTTGCCAGATTCGAGAAGGACGTGAAAAGAACCAACACCGGGTTCTTGGCGTTGGCAACTGACGTGGAAAGGGATGTGGAGAAGACCTCAAAACCTCCAAGAGAAATCACAGAAATCGTGAAGGAGTTCCAAGACATTCTTCTCGACAACCTCCCGGACGAGCTACTGCCATACCGAACGCACCAACATGAGATCGTGGAGGAACCAGGTTCGAAGCCGACCTTCCGAGCACCATATCGGCTCAGCCCCACGGAGCTAGCCGACATGAAGAAGCAGATGGAGTATCTCCTCGCCTAAGGACTCATCGGACCATCCACTTCACCGTACGGTGCCCCAGTACTCTTCACACCGAAACTGGACGGAAGCCTGCGCATGTGCATCGACTACCGAGCTCTCAACAAGCAGACCATCAAGAACAATTACCCGATTCCACGAATCGATGATCTGCTCGACCAGCTTCGGGGAGCCATGGTATTTTCAAAATTAGATCTGCGGTCCGGATACTGGCAGATAAGAATGGCGGACAATTCCGTTCACAAAACTTCCTTCCGAACAAGGTACGGATCGTACGAGTATCTCGTGATGCCGTTCGGACTCACCAACGCACCTGCAACATTCCAAGCAGAGGTGAATCATATCCTTTGCCCACTCTTGGACGAATGCGTGGTGGTGTACCTAGACAACATCCTCGTCTACTCGCGCGACATGCAACAACACGTCGAACACTTACGACGTGTCTTCGAGATTCTTCGACGAGAACGCTTCTACGTCAAATTATCCAAGAGCGAATTCGCCCTCGAGAAAGTCCAATTTCTCGGACATATCATAAGCGCTCAAGGAGTTCACGTCGACCCCAAGAACATCGAAGCCGTGCGTACGTGGAAGACACCCGAGAAAGTGAAGGAGTTACAGCAAATCCTTGGCTTTGCTAACTACTACAACAGGTTCGTGCCGCAATACGCGAAAATCGCCGCGCCACTCAGGAATCTGCTAAAAAAGAACACGCCCTATAAATGGGAGCCAAAGCACCAGGAAGCCGTGCAGCAGCTAAAGCAAGCACTCACGTCCGCACCCGTACTCATCTTGCCAGACCCCGAACGCAACTACGTCATCAAAGCTGACGCCAGCGACCAGGCAGTGAGAGCAGTCTTGATGCAAGACCAGGGGAATGGACTGCAACCAATCCCCTATCTTAGCAAGAAACTACATGGGGCAGAACAAAACTACCCAATACACGACAAGGAGGCCCTGGCTATCATCATCGCCTTAAAAAAATGGAGATGCTATCTCGAAGGACGCAAGACAAGAGTCTACACCGACCATTGCAAACTAAAATATTTGAAGACGCAACCAAGCCTAGTTCGGTGGATCAACTTCCTCGAGACGCACTTCCACTACGACATCGTGTACAAGCCTGGCCATAAAAACAAAGCCGATGCGCTTAGCCGGCCTGCACACGTTGCCGCGATCCAGGTCGAAGGGATGAATCCACTCCTCAAGGGACTCTTCACACAGGGGTACACCATCGACCCCGAAATTCCCTTGGCAGAAAAGCGACATCTGCTCCAGTGGGACAACAACATCGCGTACCGGAAAGGATCAACGAAGATCTGGGTACCCAATTACCCTCCATTGCGCCAGTTACTATTCGAAGAATACCACGACGTCCTGTACGCATGACACTTTGGTAGCAATAAGACGCTCACCAGCATCGCCAAACACTACTACTGGCCCCACATGGCAGATGACGTACAGAAATTTGTCACCTCGTGCACTACATGTCAGCGGATGAAGAGCAGCAAGCAGAAAAAGGCGGGTCTGCTATAGCCTCTTCCTGTCCCAGAACAGCCATGGCAAGTGGTCACCCTGGACTTCATCACCGAGCTACCAACTAACACAAGCGGTCATGACGCGATCCTCGTCGTCATTGACAAGTTCTCCAAAATGGGACACTTGATCCCGACACACACGATAGCACGCACCGAAAAGACGGCATAACACTTTGTTTGCTACATAATCTCACAACATGGCATTCCGACCACACTCATCTCCGACCGAGACCCTAAGTTCACCAGTAAATTCTGGAAAGAACTGATGTCTCTGCTCGGGACCAAACTCGCCATGTCATCCGCCTACCATCCGCAGACAGATGGACAGACCGAGCACCTCAAACAAATTATGGAGCAACTCCTCTGCGCAGCCTGCAAGGACGACATCTCCAAATGGGACTTGCATCTTCCCGTCCTGGAGTTTGCCTACAACAATACTACTCACGCCGCTACTCGACAGACGTCGTTCTTCCTCTGTTACGGACGCCACCCACTCACACCTCAAGAGCCAAACATACCAGCCACAGTCCAACCCGCTCATGATTTCTTCACGACTATGCACAAACTTTGGGATCGGACCCACAAGCGCCTTCTCGACATTCAGCAACAACAGAAGCGCCAGGCCGATGGCCACCGCACAGACCACACGATCACCGTAGGAGATCGAGTACTGCTCGACACGCGCAATCTTGACATCAGCCATCTCCCATCCAAACTACGACCTCGCTTCTGCAAGCCTTTTCTCGTTGAAGCACAGGTCACTCCTATTACCTTCCGCTTACGCCTGCCAGCTACCTGGAAGATTCACAACACCTTCCATGTCCCACTCTTGAAGCCCTACCAAGATCCCAACGTGATCTTCTCTGGACGCCAACCACCGCCGCCGCCGCCCGTCCTCGTCCATGATGAACCCGAGTACGAGGTCGAGTCCGTGCTTGCTCACCGCCGTCGACGGAATGGCACCATGGAGCTTCTCATCCGTTGGAAGGGTTATGATCCTTCAGAGGATGGCTGGGTCTCTGAATCCGAGATGGACCACGCTCGTCGTCCTCTTCGCGACTTCCTTGTCAAGCAGGGTGTTACGTCTACCACCCAGCTTTGATGGGGGGAAGTGTGAGAGTACGACCCCGTTCCATTCCTCTCTCCTTTCCATATTCTCTTTCCATTCCATTCCTCTTTTTATCCTGATCCATTTGGTTTTTATCTCATTCCATTTGGATTCCTATTTCTCCTTTTCCATAAACCTTTGGTTTATCCTGTAATTATCATTATATCACCGACCAGGCTCGGGATGTACTGGCACGCTATATCTAGCGTAATCCTGCCGTAATCCCTTAAAGCCAATAGCCTCGCGTGGCTATACGCAGGGTGATTCTATATTCTAGAAGGGTCTATTCCCTTGGGATAGGATAAACCTGGTTACCTAATGTACTTAGGAAGTATAAAAGCGCCTTGTACTGATCGATAGTGCATCCTTTCCTCGACACATTCGATCCTGTGACACGAAGCGTCTGTATGCCCGGTAAGGACCACTGGTCTGTGTCCTCCTAGCACAAGCCCCATGCCCGATGTACTTGCTAGATAACGCAAAACCCCCTTAGCGGCCGACCAGTGCTGTGGTCGGTATCTGCCTGTGGCCACAAAGTGAGCCAAGATGCTGAGAGGGTATGCGAGATCTGGACGAGTGCAAGTCATGAGGTACATGAGGCAACCCACCAGCTTTGCGCAAGGACCACTAGGCTCTACAGACTCCTCAGGGACTGGAGCCGAGAGCCTGTGATCTACTGGCAGAGGTGTGGGCTATGCGGAGGAGAACTAACGACCGAACCTCTGAAGGACCTGGCGCACCAAGTGTGACTGTGTAAGAGTGATGGTGTGCGCTTCTCTGTCCCTGGAGATCTGCAGGCCAAGGTAGCAGCGCAGCTCTCCTAGGTCAGTGCAGGTGTGTCTCCTCAACAGCTCAGCCTTCACGGAGGCCAGTGCGTCTCTGTCTGCAGTAGCAAAGACCGGGTCATCTAGATAGACAAGGATGTAGAACAGGGTCTGGCCAGCACGAACGAAGAGCGAGGGGTCTGCAGAGGACGGGAAGAACTGCAGGTCACCGGACCAAAGTAGGGGTCAGCAAGTGCTACAGCGGTGGGGGCAGTACGTGGCATAAGCACAGTGTGGTTGCGAAAGAAACAGTCGGACGCTCCAGAGTCGAGCGTAAAGGAGAGTGACGCAGTAGCGTCAGGCGGCGGTTGGGCGAGCATAGAGCCTAAGCTTAACAAGGCAGAGGGTCCTACGCCTGACGCAGCAGGGGAGCCTAGACTGCAGACAGAGAACACACCTACGCTAGGCAAGACCGGGTAATAGGGTCCAATCACACTAGAGCTATCAGCATACATGACTGACATAGCAGCCCTAATCTGATCCATGTCCAGCTCAAAGACAGGCACACGACTGCATGCCAGGGCGTACTAATCAGGAGGGTCCGACATGGGATCGAAGCGATGACAGAAGCGGTGATGTGGGTCGTGCAGACGGTGGTAGCAGCGGTCGGCGGTGTGGCCGGTATGGGAGCACACAGTGTTGCGGTGAGGGCCGGTCTGAAGCTGGTACTGACAGGTGACCGCACTGGAGCCGCCACCCGCCACCGAGCTACGCCCCCCACCACTACGACCACCCCCACCAGCACCGCCAAACCACCACGGCAACGGGGGTCCCCACGGCGACTGCTGCTGCTGCAGCGCCTGCTGCTGTGGCTGCTGCTGCTGCTGAGTCGGCTGTTGCTCCTACTGCTGAGGCTGCGGCTGCTACTGCTCCAGGGCACCAGCCCCGGTCCCCTCGTTGGAACCACCATCCCCACCCCCACCTCCTCCACCCTGACCACCCCCACCACCCTTCCCTCCGCCCTGCCCCCCTTTGGGGCAACGGCCCTTACTCGGACGCGGCTGCGCTGAGGGCGCAATGGGAGTCTCAACAACAGCGGCAGAGACGTCAGAGTAAATGCACAAGGAGGGAGCACAGCCTTAAAAGATAGGAACCGGTGCAGTATCGCTAGACTGAGCAATAGTGCACTGGCGGGTCTCTATCGCGGACAGGGCGGTGACAAAGGCGGTGAGCCTGAGGTCACCGGGATTCTGACTAAGGAACTGGTCGCGGGCAGTGGCTAGGTAGTCAGGAAGGCATGTAGCAATGAGGTAAAGGGTAGCGCAAAGGGGCGGTGGGAAGGTAGTGAGCTGAGCCTCAGTGCTAGCGGTGCCATAGCTAGACTCTACTGCGCATAGGTGAGCGGCAAGATCGGTGACAGTGGGGAAGGACGCAAGATCAGGGGAGAGCATGGGGAGGATCAGGCGGCCAGTAGAGGCGGAGGCAGAGTTGGAATAGCGCACGATGACGGCATCTAAGAATTCTTTGGCGTTCGCTACAGTGGTAATCTGCACAACTGCATCGCGCGACTCCCAGACAGCGCGAGCAAGCGCAGCAGCGGAAAAGGCCTCACGCTCAGCAGTGGTGGGGGTGTCAGGGAGGGCAACAGCTGCAGCAGGGCGGGGAAACAAGCCATCAACGAGCCACGCCTTGAAGTTGATCGCCTGGCCCTCCGCGTCCAAGCGGAGCAGTGAGTCCGCCATCACCCGGTGGCGCTGGGGGTCAGCGAGTGAGGGGCCGGCGGGGCGTCCAGGGCTAGCGGGGCGCACAGGGCCAGGAGGGTGCATACGGGGACAGCAGGGCGCACGGGGCTAGAGGTGCGCGACAGGCCTAGCGAGGCGCGCACAGGGCTAGAGGGGTGCGAACGGGGCCAGCGGGGCGCATGGGACTAGCGGGGCGCTAACGGGGCCAGCAGGGCGAATGGGGCCAGCGGGGCGCACGGGGCCGGTGGGGGGCACGGGGCTAGCAGGGCTCGACGGGGCCAGCGGGGCGCAAAGGGGGCAGCGGGGCGCACGGGCGAGCAGGGCTCGACGGGGCCAGCGGGGCGCTAACGGGGCCGGTTAGGCGCAAACGGGCTAGCGGGGCGTGAAGGGGCCAGCAGGGCGTACGGGGCCAGGAGGGCGCTAACGGGCCAGCGGGGGGCTAAGGGGCCAGCGGGGCGTACGGGGTCAGGAGGGCGCTAACGGGCCAGCGGGGCGTACGGGGCCAGGAGTGCGCTAACGTGCCAGCGGGGCGCTAAGGGGCGGCGGCTAGGTCTAGGCCAAAGGCGGAAGCATGGGTGGGTGGGGGAGGGACCTAACCTAGCGTGATACCATGTTAACGAGAGAAAAGATTGATTAGAATGAGAGATACAAGGTGCTTTTGTGCTAAGGGGTTGTACTCTCTAAGATACATACAGTATATATGTTTTGACAGTTTGAACCCGGATTCTGACGGGTGACTTTTGGCAGAACTGGCTGTGAAACCTGGATTTGATGGGTGAATATTGACAGAACAAGGTACTGAACACGGATTCTGATGTGTAGCTTTGGCCAGATACCCTGATCTGACGGGTGCCCCAAAAACCTAACGTAAGGCCTTTCTCATCACAATAAGCTGGGCCTCGCAAGCACCTCGCAATACAGGCGCTAATACCCCTCGCATTGAGAAATTTTCTTCAATAGAATGAACCATCCCCCGCAAAGTTTCGTACTATCGTCATCATACTTGCACACTCGGGTGTGGAGAAAAACAGGTGTTGGGGCCCCACCCAACCTAGAGCCACGTCAGACATCGAAAGAGGCCGCGAGGGTACAGGCTCCGTCAATCTAGTCGTTTTTGTGAAAATCCTGTCTTACGGCCCCATTTTTTCGCCAGCGAAGAAACAACGAGACCCAGTAGCGTGTGAACTCTGAAAATACAAGATTTCGACTTGGGAGTTGGACTCTGAGTCGACATTCTGAACCCTGAGTATTTCAGACTCGTTGACTCTTGGACACTGAGATTTCAGAGTAGCGAAATTTTGAAAAATGACCCTTCAGACTCGGGAAAATTTTTGGGAGGCAAAATCAGAGTGCCTTTTTTTTAAACGTCAGCCCTGGTAGAAAGATTCAACTTTCCTGAGCTTGAGGTGGGTCACTGATCAAGTTTGAGTACATAGAATGGTCAACAATCAAGATTCCTGAGCACAAATCCGACACTGGAAAGCGTCTCCAGAAAGAAGCAGGGCAAAATACACGGGTGTTGTTTTCATAAAATATTCATATATTAGCTACTGTGCATATGTTATATCCTAGCTAGGTCAGTCCTTAGGGGGTACAACCCCACTCTTGTACCTCTTGACACCCTTTCCTTAGTCAATTTTCTCATGCTACTCTAACATGGCATCTAGAGCTAGGTTAGGTCCCACCTACTCATGCTTCCGCCCCTAGCTAAGTAGCTTCGAGTCGCCCCTAGCCGCTCCTAGCCACTCCTAGTCACCCCTAGTCGCTTCCCCCGTAGTTAGCTTGCGCGCCCGTCGCCAGCTCGTGAACCAGCCGCACCAGCCAGCACCAGCTCGCGCCTGCCCATCCACCCTGTGCCTGTCGCTCCACGCCTGCTGGCCGCTGCTCCGTGCCTGCTCGCTGCTCATGCGCCTCGCCTGCTGGCTGATGCCTGCTCGCCAGCCAGCGACTGCCAGCTCGCAGCCGCCAGCCAGCTCACCACAGGCTCGTCAGCCAGCCGCCACTCCAAGTCGTCAATAGTCGCTCGCCTCCTACACAGTGCCAGCCAGTGCCAGCACTAGCCAGCAAAGCCAGCCAGCCAGCACCAGCCAGAACCAGCTCACGCCAGCCAGCGCCCAAGCCAGCCAGCCAGCACCAGCCAGCTAGCTAACGCCTGCCAGCGCCAGCCAGCGCCAGCGCCAGCCAGCCAGCAACGGCAAGCCAGCTAGCAAGCGCCAGCCAGCCAACTAGCGCCTGCCAGCGCCAGCGCCAGCCAGCCAACTAGCGCCTGCCAGCGCCAGCGCCAGCCAGCCAGCACCAGCCAGCTAACTAATGCCTGCCACCGCCAGCAAGTGCCAGCCAGCCAGCCAGCACCAGCCAGCGCCAGCCAGCGCTAGCGCCAGCCAGCCAGCGCCAGCCAGCGCCAGCCCACGCCAGCCAGTGCCAGAGCCAGCCAGCCAGCGCCAGCCAGCAATCCAGTGCCAGCCGGCCAGCGCCAGCCAGCAAGCCTGCGCCAGCCAGTCAGCGCCAGCCAGCGCCGGCCAGCGCCAGCCAGAAAGCGCCAGCCAGCCAGCCAGCGTCAGCCAGCCAGCGCCAGCCAGCCACCGCCAGCTAGCCAGCGTCAGCCAGCCAGAGCCAGCCAGCCGCAAGCGCCAGTATGGCTAGCTGCCAGCACAAGCGCTCGCCACCAGCACTAGCCCCAGCAGAGCCAGCACAGCCTCCTACCAGCTGCCAGTGCTAGCTGTGCTAGCCTCCAGCCGCCAGCGCCAGCCGCCTGCCGTCAGCGGCCAGCGCCAGCAACGCTAGCCGCCCACCGCTAGCGCCAGCAGCCAGCGCCCGCCGTCGCCCGCCAGCCAAAGCTGCCAGTCGCCCCTGCCCACCGCTGCCCACCAGCCACTGCTGCCAACCGCCGCTTCCCGCCGCTGCCCTCCAACTGCCTGCTCGCCGCCCGCTAGCTGCCGCCAGCTGGCTCACCGCCAACTAGCCGCTAGCAGTGCCAGCCAGCTAGCCGCCAGCAACGCTAGCCAGCTAGCCGCCAGCAACGCTTGCCAGCTCGCCGCCAGCAGCGCCTGCCAACCAACCGCCAGCAGCGCCTACCAGCTAGCCGCCAGCAGCACCTGCCAGCTCACCGCCAACAGCGCCCACCAGCTTGCCAGCTGGCCCGCTCGTCAACTCGCCAGCTGGCCCGCTCGTCAGCTCACCAGCCTCTTCGCTCGCTCACTCGCTCACCAGCTCGCCGCCAGCGCGCCACCTCCTTGCCCGCAGCTGCAACCTCACCAGCACGTCACCTCGCTCGCTCACTGCCACTGTACCAGCTCGCCGCCCCTGCCACCTTATTGTCTCTCGCTACTGCTGCTGTCCACCTGTCACTAGCCGCGGCTGCCAGATCGCCGATCAGGCCATAGCAGCCACTGCTGCTACCTCCGATAGGGCTTCTGCAGCCCCTCGTGCGTCCCGCTAGTCTCCTCCTCGTTTCTAGTGTTCCTCGACGCCAGTCCTTTTGACATGGCGACCTCGGTGCGGTCAGTCCCTCAGCCGGACCACTGGACAGTTCCATTCGCTCTGCGGCTACTCTCTCACCCCCTACAGCTGGTGAGCCTGCACGTAGACTGCTCGCTCATGGAGGACACCTCATTTCGCTCCTTGGCTTCTGGCTCCACGAACTAGAGGAACGCTATCGGGCTACTTTTCCTTCGTAGCGGCAGCAGCAGCAGGAGCGGCAACTGCCGTCGTAGGAGCAGCAGCGGCAGCAGCAGCAGCAGCAGCAGCAGCCGTGGTGGATTCTTGGGGGTGTTGGGCATGGTGGAGGCTCTGCAGGTGTGGCCCCAGGATGGTCACTGCCCTGGGGCAGTGTGGTTTCTCTAGAGGCTCGGGGGCCTAGGGGCCTGGGGTTCTAGGTCCCACTCATGTGTGTAGTCTAGGAGCCACTATTATGTGTCCCCTACGCTCCTCCCCTACCCCTCCTACGCCAAACCTCTCCTTCATACTCGACTCTGGCCTGTCTCGCTGCTTCTTCGGAGTAAGTAATAATCTCACCCCGCTTCCTGCACCCGTCCAGATCTCCCTAGCAGACTCACCCTTCACAGTAGTCGCACACAACACCACCACTCTCCCTTGTCCAGGTGTCCCCTCTAGCTCCCTCACAGGTCTGCACATCCCTACGTTTGCCAGAAACCTAGTTGGTGTCGGTCGCCTCCAGGACCGAGGAGTCACCACTACGTTTTGTGGCAACGAGAGGAACGCAAACTGTACGGACACAGCCATGGGTAGACGTCTAGCCACTTTTGAGCGTGTCCCTGAGTCCGAACTTTTCACCTTACACACTGAGTCCCCGCCAGTTGTTGCGTCTGCTGCGATAGCCGCGTCGTGCTCCTGTCGCTCCCTCACCCACCCAACCCTTCTGTGGCACCACCGCTTAGGTCACCCTACACTCCCGCGTCTTAGGCACATATCCCAGCACGGTCTAGTTACTGGTCTTCCAGCGTTGCTCCAAGCCCTGCCTGCATCGGTAGCGCCACTGTACACCTTCTACATCGAGGGCCAGCAGTGCGCTGCCCCTTACTCCTCCGGCTCGGGCTGTGTGGGGTCTGTACTGTACCATGAAGCCGAAGACTCGAAGTAATTTTGTGCTGCACTGTTGTCCTATCCACAGCAGGTACGGTGATGCGCTGTTGGGAAGTGATGACGAGGACAGCAAACTGTGCCGGTGGACTGCATGCGTCATCGATCAGGCCAAAGCGTGTTGGGCAGTCTCATCCCCAGGAGCAGCTTCCGCATCGTCGTCTACAAGGTTCTGTTCATCCTTCCTGCGACCCCCTACTGCTGGTGAGCGTAGGGCACAGACACCAGGTGTTTGATGCCTCTTTCTGCCAAGTAGTTCCTGAATCGTTGTGACTGGTACTCCAGTGCTCCAGCTGACTGGAAACTCTTGAGTTGCGAGCTCGATTCTTGTTCAGCGATGGGGAGCCACGTCGTGAAGGCTTCGAACGCTTGATCTCGTGTCTTGAGGTTGTAGTGCCAGATGTATCGTGTTGCTGCGTCGATGAACGTGATGACATAGTTGTACTCTGCTTCACTCTCGTCTCGAGGCATATTTAAGATGTCGCTGTAAACTTTTTCCATCGATGCGTATGCAGGTGCGCTTGGATTATGATGCGACTGGAACGGTTGGTGGGGAAGATCAGCATCCGGACACGTGATGCATCGTGCGCGGGGTCGTCGAAGTTCCTGGCCGCTTATTGTAAGAAGGGCGTCCTTTTCTAATTCTCCGGCTTGTATGGTTTGTAGTACTGTGCTGTTTGCAGGGTGTCCGAGGCGTTGATGCCAAGATGTCGTCGGGAGCGTGATGGCCAGGTGAGCGCTGGTACACGCCAGTGTTGGAGAAGAACGCAACTACCGAGGCCGGACTGCAGCAGACTCCTCGGGTGATGGGCATGAGTTGATCTGCTTCGGATGGCGGTCCTCGGATTGTTGGTGATGGTGCACGGCTGGGTCCTGCTGCTGCTACTGCAGGTGATGTAGGGTGAGGGACGCTTGCTGGTACTTATCGTTCTTGTCGGATGACTGCTAATGCTCGTGTTCTCTCTGCTGCAGGATGGTGTTGGAGTACCAAAATCCGTCTGGAGTGAAGTCGGGGTCAAGATCTGGCGGATGCGCCCAGGCGGCGAATAACACGATGCCGTCGCTGTCGGCAGTTCCGCGGTCGGGGACGAAATCCAGCACGAAGTCGCCTGACTTCAGGAGAGCGCGACCGATGAAGAGGCCGCCCTTCCCGTGGTAAAGTCGAAACTCGTTAGCGTCCGAATCGCATTCCATGTGAATTCCCTTCGCCATTAACTGGCTGATGCTTAGTAGATTGTCTCCCAAGTTGTCGACGATGAGAACTTTGTTGAGTTGTAGTAAGACGTTTGTCTCCATTGACTGAAGTTGAACCACTCCTTGTCTATTCGTTTTCAGGATCTCGTTGTTGGTGACGGTGATGATGACATCGCGGTTGAGTGGGGTGGGGAGGGGTTGGGTGGGGTAAGGGGAGGCGGGAATAGGGCGGACGAGGCAAGAGAATGAGAGGAGCAAGGAGGCGTGGCGGTGCATGGCATTAAGCTGAGTGGGTTCGGAATCGATCATCCGCGACGGTGTGTACGTGAAGGAGATGGCATAGCAAGGCAGCCACACTTGGCTGACTAGCGTTTGCTGCTTCGACTGCATGTCAACACAACACCATGTGCTGTGCTGTTCATCCCACCCTTACTCTTCCCTGTCTCCCCTTGCTCTCAACTGCCCACAGGTGTGCGTCCCCACCCCACCAACCCACACACACCCACCCCCACAACTCCCAAACCAATCCCACCCCCACACCACGCAGCCCACCAACATACTCTCCCATCCCTCACTCCCTCCCTCCCTCCCTCCCTCCCTCCCTCCCTCCCTCCCTCCCTCCCTCCCTCCCTCCCTCCCTCCATCCCTTCTGCCCATCCCCCCACCTACCTCGGTGCCGGCAATGCCCATGGCGAGTCCAATGTCGACCTCCTTGAGTGCGGGCGCATCGTTGGTGCCGTCGCCCGTGACGGCCACCACCTCACCCATCTCGCACAGCACGCTCACCAGCGTGTGCTTGTCCGTGGGGGACGACCGCGCCATCACCTGCCACAAACGGGGGTGAGTGCAGGCGAGAGCGTGGGGGAGAGAGCATGGCACGGGCACAGGGCACGCGTGAGGAGCATGGCAGGAGAAAGAAGGAGAAATATATGTCACGGCAAGGGCGAGGCAAGGAAGGGTGTGTTGGAGTTGAGACAACGAGCAGCAGCTCCTTCAATCCTCGTCCGTACCTCCTGTCCTCTACCTGCTCTTGTGCACGGACAATCACGTGTGCACCCAGTCACCCCACTCGTGTTAAAGATGAGACTTGCCATAGAACTGCGTGTTTTCCCTAGATAGGGTGCGTCTCAACATGTAAGATTGGGTTGGCTCACAATATGAGTGTAACCAACCCAACTACAGTTCACCTTGAGGACCCGTCAGGTCACCCACATGGGTTTGGCCAACTGAGCCCTGTTTGGTTCATCCCCAGCCAGCCCCACTTGGCTGAGACCAACGAGCCTCGCATGGCTACTTGACCTCTTGCCAGATTAACCAAGTACATTGTTTCCCCTCTCAACTCCCTAGCGCCTAGTAAAGTGCTTTCAACCCATCATCACGCTCATCCATGGTCACAGCCATCCATGCATGGTTATGAGGTGGCAGGGCAGTGCAAGAGAGGCAGTGCGGCGCACTTGGAGGCGCGGCAGCAGCGCCATCATCTGATCCTTGGAGAGCTGGCGGAACTTGGGCCCCTCGATGGCCTCGCCCGTCTCCATGAGGATGCCGCACTCGCGCGCTATGGCAATGGCCGTGTTTAGGTTGTCGCCCGTCACCATGCGCACCTGGAACCACGCACAGCAGGTGGCCAGGGGGGGGGGAGGGGGGGGGGGTGGTTGACCGAGGCAGTGCGGAGGATGAAGAGAGGCAGAATAGAGGGAGAGACAGCCGGTGCAGTGCTTGCAATGGCTGCGGCGGCCTTGTCATCCCGGGCATCATAGCATGGGAAATTCAGTGCACGTGCAAGAGGCGGCAAGGGAAGGGTGGCAGTGGCGATGGGCTCCACCAAGGCACAGAGGGTTTTGTTATAATCACAATAGGCTCAGATGTGCCTATAATGAGGGATAGAGAGTACAGCCGGATTTCCGTCAGACGACTTCAAATATTGATAACGATCTGCTCGCTAACTTACATGGTGATCTGTAAATTTGATCTGGAGCGCGTTGCTGTCGCCTATCAGCAGCAAGTTGAATCATGAAATTCCATGAAGATTTGACGACGCTATGGCGGTTTGACTGGCAGGAGGTATAGCAGCCACTATAGTCTTGGAAGTACAAACTTAGCAAGAAGAATTCGAGACGGAGATGGTTCCCAGCCTCTACATACCCCAAAAGCCAAGGTCCAGGTTGGTGATACACCACCACAGAGTCCCCAACCATGAAGAGTCTCGAAACAAACCCTCCAAGGGGCTACACCAAGTGCAATGTAACACTACACGAAGTCGTGTTACTATTTTCACTATTTAATATTTATCCGTGTCCCTTGGGCTTGAAATCTTGAGCTCCTGGTCTTGGTTCTGCAAGATAAATCCTTCTTGAGTTGATGGGGGCTTTCTGCACACACATGCGACACGCAAACGACGACTTGACATGCGAGTTGTAAAAACTCGCTAATGTCTTGACCGATTCAAACCACATTGTGATACACCATTCAAACACACACACAAGCACTAGATAGCAATGACATAGACTCACAATTCATTCCATGCCATGCATGCACACACACAAACAAGGACGACAAGCCGAGTGCAAACCTTAGGGTTGCACCAACAAACTCCCCCTCGGAATGTTGGCCTTAGAATCTGCTCCCCTTAGTTCAGAGCCATCCCAGCAAGCTTGCAACACTTCCAATGTTGTTGCTCAACCAGCCACTTGGTCCTTATATCAGCAGGCTGTGCCGTCGTCTTCACGTAGTGCAACTCCACTTCACCCGAAGTTACCATGCTCCTCACCCAATGCCACTTCACCTTCATGTGCTTCGTAAGGCCATGAAGAACGGGGTTCTTAGCCAATGCAATAGCACCCTGGCTATCACAATAGAGTGGGGTAGATCCTTGCTGCTCCTCCCCCAATTCAGCTAGCAAACGCCGCTGCCACACAACCTCCCTTATGGCACGGAAGAGTGCCATGTACTCGGACTCCACCGAGCTCAATGCTTGGTCCACTTGCTTCTTGCTCTCCCAAGCTGTTGGGCCTCCACCAACACAACAGATGAAGCCTCCCACACTTGTCATATCCTCTGGTTCTGATGCCCAAGATGCATCAGAGAAGGCGGTGAGAAAGAGCCTCCCGGGTTCGACTCCATCCGCACCCTTTTGACGCCTTTGTGCCGCCGCGGAGTATTGCAGTCCAACAGTTGCTGTTTGGCCAAGGTACTTGGCCACCCTCTCTCCAGCTGCTACCTGCTCCTCATTAGGGCATTGGACAACCCTAGCCAGCTGCCCGGTAGCAAAGGCTGCATCCGGCCTTGTGTGAACGGCCGCATACATGAGGCTGCCCACCAAGGAGTGAAAACGCCGCCTCTCCTCTTCACCAACACTTTCCTCCGCTGGTCCTTTCACACACTTGAACCCCGAGGGTAGATGAGTAGCCACATGACCTTCACTCTTCCCAAAGTTTGCAGCCAAGGCCTCCAAGTACTTCTTTTGATGCACTCGCATCCACCGCTTCTCCACATCTCGCTCAATGTGAAGCCCAAGGTAGTAGTTGACGTCACCAAGGGTCTTGCACTTGAACTTGTCATGAACCTTCAGCATCACCTCCTTCACAAGGTCAGAGGAGGGTGAGAATATGAGGATGTCATCCACATAAACCACCATGAAGCTCCTCTGCTCCCCCTCGCCAAGCATGAACAAGGATTGATCGGCCGTTGAGGGAGTGAAGCCGATCACCTCCAAGACTTCCCGCAGCTTGATGTACCATTGCCTAGGGGTTTGCTTGAGGCCATAGAGTGCTTTCTTCAGCTTCCACACTCTGCCACTCCCATCATTGTACCCTTCTGGCTGCTCCATAAAGGTCTCTTCCTCCAAAACGCCGTTGACGAAGGCCGTTACTATATCCATTTGCTTCACCACCCATCCTTTGATGGCCGCTGCGGCAAAGAGGGTTCGAAGGGTTGTACCCTTCACCACAGGGGCATACACTTCATTGTAGTCCTTCTTCTCTTGCTGCTGATACCCTTGGCTACAAGTCTGCTCTTGTAGCGCTCAATGTTGCCGTCAGCGTCGGTCTTGCGCTTGAAGAGCCACTTGGAAGAGATCGCCTTCCGCCCCGGAGGAAGGTTCACCAAGTCAAATGTGTCGTTCTCTATGATGCTCTCCATTTCTTCATCTGAGGCCTTCTTCCACTCCTTCCCATTGGGGCCCTCCCAAGCCTCCTTGGGATTTGTAGGGTCCCCCGGCATCTCCACCGGAGAGAAGAAGGCAAAAGCGCACTCCTCGCTTTCATCTTCCGCATCATCGCCTAGCATGAGAGCCGAACCGGTCAAGGTTGAGTTGGCCGATCCTCCAAGCCGGTCATAGCTCAACCTATTGGGGGGCTGAGTCCTCCTTCTCCCCCTTCCTTCCTCCTTTGCTGCATGGACTTGAATGCTCTCATGGCGTTGCGGTAAATCTGGTCGGTTCCCGCGAGCACTTGTAGCACGTGGCGGAAGTGGCGGTGCACGCTCATCACCTTGCTGCACCTCCTCCTCCTCCTCATCCCCATTCATTTGGGGAGATTGCCTCGTGATTGTGCTGCTGCTACTCAGCTCCAAGGGCAGCTCCACATGCTCCAAGCCGGTCCTCTTCACCTCTCCAAGCCGCACACCAATCTTTGCTTGGTTCTCCGCCTTCCACTCCTTGTACGGTAAATTCTCCCTGAACTTGCAATCTCTGCTCACCAAGAACTTTTTGGTAAATGGGTCCCAAAGAAGCCATCCCTTGCTGTTTTGAGCCATGCCCAGGTGCACGGCCCATGTTGCCTTGGCATCAAGCTTCTTGTGCCGAAGTTTCTTAGGCACAAGTGCCATGCACATGCGCTTGAACACCCGAAGCATATCCACCTTTGGCTTCCTTCCAATCCACTCCACATAGGGCACCCATTTGTCTTCTCCCACATGAGTCAAGGCTCTGTTCTTGGCCACACAAGCATCTCGCACCGCATCCGGCCAAATGTAATTGGGTAGACCGTCTTCAATGAGAAGTCCCCGAGCCGTCTCCGTGAGTGTCCGATTCGCACGCTCGGCGATGCCGTTCATTGCAGGAGAGTAGGGCATGGTAAGAGAGTGCCTTATGCCCTGCTTCTTCAGCCAATTTGAGAAATCCTTACTTAGGAACTCTCCCCCACGGTCAGTGCGAATCGCCTTCATAAGCCGGTCTTGTTGCCGCTCCACCATCGGCAACCAATCGGTCTTCACCGTTTCAGCTACGTCACTCTTCTTGGGCAGCACATACACCCAAGTCATGCGAGTGTAGACGTCCACAATGGTGAGGAAGTACTCTGCTCCAGCAGCTCCAAGCTTCAGAGGGCCCACCACATCCATCACCACCTCATCAAGTGGTGCCTTCGCCGTTGTCTCCGAGCTATGGAACGGGTAGCGGGTGAACTTGGCTTGCATGCATGTTGGACAGCCGAGCACCTCATTGGGCCCCCCCTTGACACGTATCCCACTGACCATCTCTTGCTTAACTATCTGCTGCAAAATGGGCAATGCCACATGCCCCATTCGCCGATGCAAGGTCAGCCAATCACACTCTCCCGTAGCGGAAGTCGGGTTGGAGAAAGTGGCACTCGTAATTGTGCCCCACAAGCTCTCTCCTTTCTCCTTTTCCGCTGCTGCTTTGCTGATCTTAGCCTTCTCCTCCTCTTTTCCACCTTCTTTGGCTGCTGCACCATTCTCCTTGGGTTCACACGCCTTGCTAGTCTCTCCAAGATTGCACTTCTTCGAGTCACTCTTGGTGTCACTTTGTTTTCCGTGATCACCGCCACCAACCGCTTCACTCTTGGTGCTGACGCTTGCTGCCACTTGCCTCTCCTTAGGCATGGGGACCACTGGGATTTGCCACATGTCATTGTAGATTTCCCTGTCCTCATGAAGGTCCCAAAGCTTCCGCTCACCAAGCCTCGCGGTATAGGTTTTGGATCCCTTGGAAGATGTGTCCATGCCGGCCTTTTGCAAACGCCGCACAGAAATCAGGTTGGCTGCAAGGTTGGGCACCCAAAGCATGTTCTTGAGGCCCACCATCTTCCCATCAGCACCCTTGAACATGGCCTTGCCCATGCCTTTCACCTCTGCTCGCTGCCCCAAAGCCGATGTGACATGCTTGACCGGCGACGGTTCCAATTCGGTGAGCAAGTCCGCACGAGGTGTCATGCTATAGGTGGCGCCGCTATCGATCACCCAAAAGTCCAGAGAGTGAAAGGTGACCTTTCCCACAGTAGCTGGTTCCTCAAAGCCTTCCACACCTCCTGCTGCAGCTGCCGCTTGCGTGGAGACGAAGAAGAATTTGCCCGAGTATCGATCTTCACTCGAGTCCTTGTCGTAGTCTCCACCTTTCATGCTTGCCGCTTCGCTTCCACGACCACCACGGCCTCCACGACCTCTGCCTCTTCCTCCCCTTGCTCCTCTGCCCTCGTGGCCTTGAGAAGGGGTCCATCCATCAGGCAATCTGAAGCAATCTCTCCACATGTGGCCGGTCTTGTGGCAAAAGTGGCATTCGCCATCAAATCGACCGCGCCCACGTCCGTAGCCATTGTTGTTGTTGTTGCTGCCATATCCTCCATTACCACGGCCTCCATTGAAGTAACTGCTGCCAAATCTTCCTCCTCGCCATTTGCCCCTTCCACGGCCGTACCCACGGCCCATGCTTGCAACTCCGGCACCATCGGGACCCGCCAATTCGCGACGGCGGAAATCTTCTTGTAAGATTTCCCACTTCACATCTTCGAGTGAGAGACGGGGCAAATCTCGATTTAGGTTGATGATGAGCGAGGACCATGAGTCCGGAAGTAAGGCCAGCAACTTGGTCTTCTTTTGAAGGTCAGTGTAGTTCAGATCAGCTCCTTCGAGCCATGTCAACAAGTCGAATAATTTCTGCACTCCTTCCTCCACCGGTTCGCCTTCGTCAATTCGAAGTGCCGCTTTTTGCCGCTCCAAAATCACAGCCACCGCCGATGTTGCAGGAGCGTATACACCCTTGAGAGCAGCCCATGCCTTTGGTCCCTTTGCTGGTTCATGCTGAAAAGGCTTGATGTGACGGATTTGGCTGCTCCCCAACGCTTGCCCAAGTAGAAGGTAGCCTTGTGCGCTCTTTTGCACCCACGGGCTCTTCTCCGGGTCGTTCTCGGGGCGCTTCTCCGTTCCTTCCATCACCTCCAGCAGATCATAGTGGTCAACGATGTTCTCCATCTTGAAGGACCACTCAGCAAAGTTGTCACCATTGAAATTGTCAAGGCCAAACACTCTAGGCTCATCCCTAGAGGGTCCAAGGCTAGGTTGCACCGGAGCAATGGGTGGATCTTGGTGTTGACCTTGTGCTTGGGCGTCTTCTCTGCCTCCAGCACCTCTGCCACCCCCTTCCTCAGATCTAGGCATGGTTGAGACGGCTCCAAGGGGCTTTGATACCACTATTGGCCCAGCCCGATACCGACTAGGTTAAAAGGGCATGTTTTTTGTGGTGGATAGCGCACCCATTACCCAACAGGACAGACCTGTAGCCCTCCCATACTCAACTGCGACGATCCCAGTGCCCCACCAATAATCTCCCCCTCACTGGGGTCGTCAGGGCACCCGGCGCGTCCTTTGCGCACACTGGGATTCGAACCCTGGACCTTCCAGGCTCTGATACCACTTGTTATAATCACAATAGGCTCAGATGTGCCTATAATGAGAGATAGAGAGCACAGTCGGATTTCCGTTAGACGGCTTCAAATATTGATAACGATCTGCTCGCTAACTAACACGGTGATCTATAAATTGGATCTCGAGGGTGTTGCTGTCTTCTATCAGCAGCAAGTTGAATCATGAAATTTCATGAAGATTTGACGACGCTATGTCGGTTTGACTGGCAGGAGGTATAGCAGCCACTATTGTCTTGGAAGTACAAACTTAGCAAGAAGAATTCGAGATGGAGATGGTTCCCAGCCTCTACATACCCCAAGAGCCGAGGTCCAGGTTGGTGATACACCACCATAGAGTCCCCAACCATGAAGAGTCTCGAAACAAACCCTCCAAGGGGCTACACCAAGTGAAATGTAACACTACACGAAGTAGCGTTACTATTTTCACTATTTAATATTTATCCGTGTCCCTTGGGCTTGAAATCTTGAGCTCTTGGTCTTGGTTCTGCAAGATAAATTCTTCTTGAGATGATGGGGGCTTTCTGCACACACCTGCGACGCGATGGACACTTCACAATCGACAAAATAGAAAAAACACATGCGACACGCAAACGACGACTTGACATGCGAGTTATAAAAACTCGCTAATGTCTTGACCGACACAAACCACATTGTGATACACCATTCAAACACACACACAAGCACTAGATACCAATGACATAGACTCACAATTCATTCCATGCCATGCATGCACACACACAAACAAGGACGACAAGCCGAGTGCAAACCATAGGGTTGCACCAACAGGTTTGTCGCGCGGACCGACGGAGAGAGAGGGGGGACAAGTCATATTAAGGGGGTAGGGAAGGGTGGAGGAGAGGGGAGAGTGGTCACGATAAGGCAGGTACGGCATTGGGATGAAAGCAAGTAATGGAAGGCAAGAGGTCCTAGGGGCAGCAAGCTGGCAGTCAGACGGGGGTAAGTGAGAGTCGATGCAAGCAGCTGCCGCCACTTTCCGGCAAATCTTGGTCCACCACTCAGCAGTAACTTCTCACCCCCTCCTCCCCCCCCCCCCACTAACCACGATGCCGGCGGTCTTGCAGGTCTGCACGGCGAGTGGCACTGCGCAGGGAGTCCTTGATGCCCACCACAGCCTGCAGCACGAGGTCCTTGTCGGGATCTCGTCCTGGTCGCCCCACACTCCGCCCTCCGGCACCTCCTCGGGCCGCAGGTCGCAATACGCCATGGTGAGCGTGCGCAGCGCATTGTCCGCGAAGCCCAGCTAGGGAGAGGCCAGTGATTGTACCTCCGCACCGAAGCAGGCGGTCGCGGAGTGTCTGGCAGCGACTCATATACTGCATCGCCTTTTCCCTGGTTTTCATTTGTATTGTGGTCAACTGCTGCATGAGTCTGCTTTGTATCACGCTGTCGTTTGCTTGATAGAGACACTTCAGATGATGCCAGGCAAGCTCCGCAGAGTTTCCGTAGCTCCGATACGTTCGAACCGTACCATGCAGTTGATGATGTTTGGTGTGTCTCCTGCAGGTGTAGAGGAGCGGCTTGGCGGATTTTCTTGAGTGGAGGCGACTTGCGGATTTGCTGGACGATAAACTCGAGGGCGTGTGCAGTTAACCTTGGAGTGTCCGGATGTCTGACAATTGTGGCAGAACGGCAGCACGACGGTGAGACCTCTTGTGTCATATCGATTATGCTTATCGCGTCGGTTGTAGTTGTTGTCGTTTCTTCGTTGAGTATAGAAGACTAACGGTTGCTGCTTGTTTCTTGGTTGTCTTTCTTCAAACAGGTCCATCTCCTGTTGTTCGGCATGAAGTTCGGCGCAGAGGTGCATCTCGGAAATTCGTCCGCGGGCGCGAAGAAGCGAGTGCGTGGTTCTCCATTCTGGTCCGAGCCCGGCAAGAGCAAGTGTCACGAAGCTTTCCTCAGTGATTGTACCTCCGCACCGAAGTAGGCGGTCGCGGAGTGTCTGGCAGCAACTCATATACTGCATCGCCTTTTCCCCGGTCTTCATTTGTATTGTGGTCAACTACTGCATGAGTCTGCTTTGTGTCACGCTGTCGTTTGCTTGATAGAGACACTTCAGATGATGCCAGGTGAGCTCCGCGGATTTTCCGTAGCTCCGATACGTTCTGATGCTCTGTTGCTCTTGTGGTGACAGATTTCGCAGGAGAACTGTGTACGCCAGCAGCGGCTGATAAGTGAAGATTTCCTGCTCCTTTGTAGTACCATTGCTTGGAAATGGTAGGGACCTGTTGAAGTATCCCAAGAGGTGCGCGGCCTCCATCAGCAGCTCGAACTCAAAACTCCAGGTAAAGAAGTCGTGCCCGTTGAACGGTGAAGATGTCTGCGGTTTGATCATATGTGAAAACTGCGCCTGGAGACTCAATATCTCGTTTGGTGTCTGTTGTGATGCAGCTGCTGATGGTTGAGCACAGGGCGGCATGAACTCGAACGTCCCCCGGTGAAGAGTGATAAGCGCAATTGTAGGTGCCTGATTGTGCCGCGCGAATGATGAGTTGTCGAGGCTCATTGGTGCTAATCCCATATTTCCCCCGTTGCTCTGTGTTGAATGCGCAGGTGTCCTTGTCTGCTGCTGCTGGTCAAAGTCCTTGACTGTAGATAGAGCGTTGTTGCTGGGGATTTGGTCTCTGACCAGCTCTCATACCATGTTGGGCTGAGAAAAACCCTTAGGATCTTTCCAGAGACTAAGTCCCACTTGTACAAGGTGTTTGAGTAGTGATTCGGAAGTGTTGAGTACTTGAACCCTTGCACTAGTATGTGAGAGCAAGTGATTGATTAAAAGAAGCAAGCATACAGCAATATATAGAAAATAGGAAATAGATCAGTTATAGAATACAGTTGAAGAAACGGTTATCGAGTCACACAGCGACTCGATCGTTGGTTCGGTTACCATCTTTGCAGTCGTAATGGTCAATTGCAACCTCCGGTTGCGACCCTACGAGTCCCTTCATCCTTTCGTGTTCTTTCGTCCAACCTCCTCGTGTAACCTCTGTTGACTCGCGTACTCGATACGACTTTCCTGGGAGTGTAGTGTTACACTTCAGAAACGCTTAAGTCTTCGAGGTATTTCCAACATTAGCAAATAGCGTTCGTCATGAGGACCATCGTTTCAGTCACGCGAACAGTCGCGTCTCTTCAGTGTCATTCAGGGCGCATAGCGTGATAGTGTCAACAGGTACATTAGCGAACAGGTACTTCTGTTATATATAAAAGTAGCATGTCTTCATTGTTTAGTTGACTTGATTCTTAAAGCCCGCAGCTAAAATAGCAGACCTGGAAACCACTTGAATTTGGTGCTTTGAAATCCGTCTAAGTATAGAATGCAAGGCAGCTTTGAGTTTAAGCCTGAACAAGAAAAGTGCGTCGAAACAAATTCTGGTCGAGCTTGTTGATTGGAGGAATGGCGAAAGAATTCGTTTTGCTGTTTGTTGCGACACGATCATTTGGATGCGAATTGCACAAAAACACTGTGTGCATCGCATGGAGTTTCTACGACTGGTTTGGGCGAGCAGCTTGCGACGAGGAAATGCAGGCGCTTTATGACTGGGGAATTCAAGTGATTTCCAGGTCTGCATTCCAGAATCAGCACTACTCGCCAAAAAAACACTGTTCTTTTCGCATTTTCACTGTTCATGGAACCACGAATTCGGTCGCACGACGCGTATTGCACTGTTCACCGAATGGTTTCGTGCAAAAACTGTCGCCAAACCACCACGGTCAGATTCCGCCATGCAAAACGAAATGTTTATATTCTGTTTCGTTTACTCTAAAGTTCAAGCCATGTGTCAAGTTCAAGAGCAAATTAAACAGCCCTCTTGATTGCTATTATAGCCACGGGCTTTAACTTGATTCTTAACTTGTTCTTCAGTAAATGTAATTTTTTGAAAGCGTGTAACACTTTCTAAAAAATGTGTATTGTGAAAGTGTAGCGAGGGCCAACGCAGCAAGGTCAGCGTCGAAGCGCTACTCACCCTCTTTTGCCTACAAAAGAGGGACGTGAGGCCATTCGACCTCACCCACGTTCTTCATTTCTAGTTCCAGTTTCGTTTTCCAGTTCTCGTCCTAGTTCTAGTCTCCTTATTCTCGCCCAAGCTGGCGAAAACCCAGTCTCTTCCGCGCTTCAAAGCTCCGACAACGCTCCTCACCGACATTCTGCAGCACAATATTACCGCGATGACTTCCGCCAATTCTGCTCCGGCTCGCGCGGTGAATAACATTTGTACCCCCGCTAACGCCCAGGCGCTCGGAACTTCGCCCGGGGGAACCGACCGACGTCAGAAACGTCCTGCTAAGGACAATTTTGGCGAGGGCCCCTCGGCAGTCGAGATTCTGCTCGGCGGCAGTCACGCTGCTCCAGAAGCCGCGCGTGCAGGCAACGGAAGTCCACGCGCCAGCCCGAGGCGCGTCGCCTGCAGGCCAGGCGGGCCCCACCACCCAGCACGCGCCTGCCGCCGACCCCGCGCCAACCGCCGCCGCCCCCGCCTTGACTGCACACCAGCTGCAAGCGCTTTTGGCGCTGTTACAGCAGCAAGCTCCTGCTGTTACAGTCGGAACCTCATCCGATAACGCTGCACCTACGACCAATTTTAACAAAAAGAAAGAAATGGCTACCCATCCTCGCGCGCCCAAGGCTCCCCTCGCCGACGACCAGCCCCCGGCACCAACTCCTGCACCCGCTGACAACCCCGATGACAGCGACGACTCCGAAAATGACGATGGTGAGGGTCCCGCCAACATTGCTCGTCGTTGCATCCTCGCACCCGCCCCCCCCCTTCCCCCCCTTGGCCCCACGCCCGCAGCTACTACCTTCATGCGCAAGGGCGTACGCGACCAGGCCGAGGTCTTCACTGCCATCGAAGCGTACCTGAAGCATATCGACTTCAAGCTGCAGCACGGCGACGTCGTCGGCGCACTCAACAACGTAAAGGATATCGAAATACTTCTTAATAAGCGTTTCCAAGTCCTTCTCGTTGCGGACGAAGCCGGTTTCGAGGCCGCCGACCGGTTCCAGCTCTATCAGTCCAAAAGTGTCCTGACATCCCGCTCCTACAAGCTGGCGGTCGCGGATGTGGCAGCACTCAAGCGTGCACGCCTCGGCTATACGCGCGGCGGCCGTCCCGGTGGTCGCGACACGGACTCGGACATCAAGGGCTCCCCCCCTGCTACGTGCCAGCAGCCGCGCTTCAAGGGAGTCTGCTTTCGCTGTGGCCAACCAGGCCACATGGCCAATGCATGCCACATGGGAGGGCGTGGTGCGCAAGGTCCCTCACCGGTGGTGTGAGCGGTTGATAGGGCGGCGCCCTTTCCCACATGCAAGAGGCATAGTGGGTTGCACGGTAGGTGCATGGCCGGTGGCCAGCCTTTTGCCAAAGGCAAGGAGTCTTCGCTGACTAGGGTGGCCCTTGGGGACAGCAAAGGCTGATAGGCCTAGGCTTGTAATAATTCCTATGATTGAATTAAAGGCTCGACCGTGTCACGGCCATCCGTTTTTTTCAAAAAAAAAAAAAAAAAAAAAAAAAAAAAAAAAAAAAAAAAAAAAAAAAAAAAAAACCCTTGAGGGGGTTGGGGGGAGGGAGGGGGCTACAAAACCCAGTCAACATGGCTGGTCAGCCTTGAGCATGGCCTCCGACCCCTCACTTTTTTCTTTGCCGACCACGCAACACGCCCCGAGAGCTAACCATGGAGGCACGCTCGGCACCCAACAAAATGGTGCGCACGCACGCACTCGGAGATGCACTATTTAAGAGCCAAGGACAGAGTCTAGGAGCTCAAAGCTAACACAAAGAGTGGCCCAAACAAGGAGAGCAAAAGAAGGAGGAAGAAATGTAAGCCAACCACCAACGAGCACCAACGCGCTTAAAAAATGTTCACGTACGAACACAGCACGTGATGTCTTCGCACGCAAAGGAAAGAGGGAAAGAGGGAGATCAAGAGATGGAGAGAGAGAGAAATAGCAAACGAGAGAGAGAAAGAGAGAGAGAGGGAGGGAGAGAGAGAGAGAGAGAGAGAGAGAGAGAGAGAGAGAGAGAGAGAGAGAGGGAGAGAGAGAGAGAGAGAGAGAGAGGGAGTCAAAGAAAGTGAGAGAGAGCAAGAGCGAGAGAGAGAGAGAGAGAGAGAGAGAGAGAGAGAGAGAGAGAGAGAGAGTGAGAGAGAGAGAGAAAGAGGGAGAGAGTGAGAGAGAGAGGGGGAGAGAGAGAGAGAGAGAGAAAGAGGAGAGAGAGAGAGAGAGAGAGAGAGAGAGAGAGAGAGAGAGAGAGAGAGAGAGAGAGAGAGAGAGGGAAAGAGATAGAGAGAGAGAGAGAGAGCGACAGAGAAAGAGAAGGCGGATAGAGAGACGAGTACCCCTTGCACCTTGCAAGCACCTAACACGGCAGTGGCCGTGCGGTCCGAGCATGTCATGCCCCGTCTACACTTGCAATGCATCATGCACCTGCTCACGAGCACAGTATCTTACTCCCATCTATGAACCCATGTTTATAACCTCGTATAATGCAGAGATCCCAAGTGGGTGGCCACGAGAGGAATGCGATCCCTACGAGCTCGCAACTACAGACAGGGACGTGACCATCATGCGCAGTCGACTGCGGCATGCCTTGCACTGGTGGTGCTCCTGGTGTGACAGTAGCTTTATCCTCTCCGTCATCGCTAAAGGGTATTGGCTGCCCTGGAAGAATACAGCCCCCACACCCTTCGAGGACAACAACCATGCCGTAGTCTGCACGCACCTCGACTTTACTCGTGTCACAATTCGCGATCTTGTAGTGACCGGCGCTGCTGCAGTGATCGAGAAGAGAGACACACTAACATGTGTCAGCCCACTGAACGTCGTGAAGCAACGCGACAAATGCCGCCTCATCCTTGACCTGCGGAAAGTGAACACCCACCTTGAAGCCCCCAAGTTCAAGTACGAGGGTCTGAATCGTGTAGCCGAGCTCATCCGCCGAGATGACTGGATGTTTTCCATCGACCTGAAATCTGGATACCATCATGTCGAGATTCACCCTTCGTGTTGGCAGTTTTTGGGCTTCCAGTTCGAAGGCATCTACTACTCCTTTCAGTCACTGCCGTTCGGCCTTGCAACTGCTCCATTCGTTTTCACCCAACTAATTAAACAACTTGCCAAGCGATGGCGGGCAAGCGGCGTTCGAGTGGTCCCGTATGTCGACGACCTATTATTTCTCTGCGATTCCCACCAGCAAGCGTGCTCGACTCGTACGACAGTCCTCCAGGACCTTAACGCAGCTGGCTTCGTCATTAACGGCAAAAAATCACACCTCCACCCCTCGCGTCAGCTTCGCTTCCTCGGATTGGAAATCGACTCCACCCGCGGCACGTTCTCCGTCGGACTCGAGCGAAGGGCTCAACTCTTAACCACGCTTGAGGCCTTGATAACCCAAGGACAATCAGGAAGGCATATTCCCGTTCGATCCCTCGCAAGAGTTACAGGCATGCTCGCCTCTATGGCCCTAGCACTGGGCGCGACGGCACGAGCATTCAGCCACGAACTCCTGCGACTTATTGCCGACGCAACGTCCTGGCACTCCAAGGTCCTCCTGCACCCGGCAGCGGTGGACGAGCTATGTTTCTGGCTGGCGCAATTCGACAAATTTAACGGCGCCCCATTTCATCTCAGTCACCAGTTCGACGCCGTCATCCACGTGGATGCAAGCGCCCACAGTTGGGGCGCCATCCTCACGCCGCTCCCTGGGATCCCAATAGAAGCAAGCTCCCGCATGCCAGAAGACCTCCTACACACTTCCAGCACCCGAAGGGAACTCGAAGGTGTACTGTGGGCATTAAGAACCTTTGACACCCACATCTCCAAACGGCACGTGTTAGTTCGTGTGGACAACCAGGGGGTTGTATTCATACTGCGCAAAGGCGGCTCCAACATCCCTGCACTCACACTACTTTGCCAGGCGATCATCGACCTTTGCTTAAAAAACCGGACACGCCTTGCCATCGAATGGATTCCCCGGGAGCTGAACGCGCACGCCGACGAACTCTCCAAAGTCCAGGACCGAGATGATTACTCACTCAAATCCCCATGGTTCCGACTCCTCGACCGCCGCCTGGGGCCTCACTCTGTCGACCTATTCGCGAATGTTCACAACGCTCAACTGGGGCGCTTCTGCTCCAAGATTCCTCACCCCAAGGCCACAGCAGTTGACGCCTTCTCGTTCAGCTGGCATGATGAACGCGGCTTCGCGTTTCCCCCCCCCCCCACCTCATCCCGGCTACTCTGCGCCACGCCCAATGCACCCACGCCGAGTTGACGTTGGTCATTCCCGAGTGGCCAGGAGCCTCTTGGTGGCCCCTACTGCAGCCAGCACCACGAACCTGGGCACGAGAAGTAAAGGCACATATTCCCCTCACTCAAGGCAGCCAATGCCTATCCCCAGGCACACACTCACTCGTCTTTGCTGGTCTCGGTTTTCCCAATAGCCCGATCATTGCGTTGCATGTGACATATAAAATATAACCCCACCGTGCCTGGGCTCTCTGTATTTCAGGCTTATTATCAAAACTACAGACACAGCTACTTCGGGTAACCAGTCATGTCCGCGCGCCATCCACCATAAGGACCTACGAGCCGTATTGGCTCAAGTTCCGCTCCTTTTGCACGAAGGTCAAGCTGAGCTACCTGCAGCCACAGACACCACTCTAGCGCTCTACCTTGTCTATGCCCTCAACAATCAGGCCATAGTATCCGCCATATCCCTTACGTGCTCCGCCGTCGCATTTGCACATCGGATGACCGGAGAACCCTCTCCCACTAGCGGGCCTTTCACTTCACAAGTTCGTGAATTCTCCAAACGCCACGGCCCGTGCACCACCAGGACGAAGGAACCCTTGTCGCTCCACCAGGTGCACGCCATGGCACACCCCTTCCTTGAGTCGAGCAGCCCGGCAGAATATCAGAAAGGACTGATCCCACTCCTCATGTTCGCGGCATTCCTCCGCTACTCCGACCTCGTCTCCATCCAGTGGAACGACATCCACTTCGACGAGGAGTCTATGTGGATCCTAATCCCGCACTCCAAGACGGATCAAGACGGCAAGGGCTCATGGATCCCAGTTGCTCCCACAACTGGGCCTTACTGCCCAGTCCGTTGCACCCAGCGGTTTCTGCAACTCGCGGGACACCCCACCACCCCGCAAGGACCACTGATCCGTGTCTTTGGCATCAGCGGCAGGGCAACCCCTCACGACAGCGCTCCGTCATACACAACCATCCGCAACTGGTGCCTCGAAGCCTTCGCCAAGGCTGGGCTTGACAACAGACACCTCGGCACTCACTCCTCCGCAAGGGCGCCGCAACTGCGGCAGCTAACTTGGGGATCCCTGACCGGCTCTTCAAGCGACTCGGTCGCTGGCGCAGCGATACGGCCAAAGATCTCTACGTCACCATTGCGCAGGACCAGCTCCTTGCGGCATCCACACGCATCCAAGACGTGTCCGCCGCTCCATCGCCCAGACATCACCAGCTCTCCATCGAGCGACACCGCCAGCCCCTGCTTTACATGCCTCATAAGACCCATATGAAATTAAGCACGCTGCCTTTGCCAAGGTGACCCAAGCAAGCTTTCACAATATGTAATTTTTTGAAAGCGTGTAACACTTTCTAAAAAATGTGTATTGTGAAAGTGTAGCGAGGGCCAACGCAGCAAGGTCAGCGTCGAAGCGCTACTCACCCTCTTTTGCCTACAAAAGAGGGACGTGAGGCCATTCGACCTCACCCACGTTCTTCATTTCTAGTTCCAGTTTCGGTTTCCCCACCCACCCACCCTATTGGACGGTGTAGTCTATTGGACGAGAACCATGTACTGTAGCCCATATGAAATGAAGCACGCTGCCTTTGCCAAGGTGACCCAAGCAAGCTTTCACAATTAAACTAGAAGTGGAAACCTAGAACAAATACTAGCTGGTTGTACTCACTAGAAACATACCCCAATCTAGCCTATAACTTGTACACAGCTAACATGTATAAGTTGACATATCGAGGCCCCTAATACGAAGGGCCGATATACTTTCCCCTTGTACAATGTCCACGATAATTCTATAGCAAAGTCTCTTTCTAGCAAGAGTGTTTCAAGTGCCAGATGATAGGAATGTGAAACATGCAATGACTGAAGTATGTGCACCACACGATAGGCCAAATAGGAAAGTCTATAATAAATATTAACAATACATCAGATTCCATGTGGTCAAACCATGTACACAGCACAACTTCTGTCACTACTAACCCCGAAATTTAACATGGGCTATGTACAAGGCAGCCATCTATAAGCTAGCTCCCCCACACAAAGAAGAGTCAGCCACAAATCCCCCCGCCCTCCCCTCTCCCCACCCCCCAACTATGCACAGCTGGATGAGCAATTTACTCCTGTACAAAAATGTAAACATGGAAAGGGCCGTGAGCTCGCTCACCTTGTTGTGTATCTCCCTCCTCCCCTCCATCCATCTCAACTCTCGCGTCACCAACCGCCTGTTCCTCCAAAGAAGTCCCTCGTGCTTTCTCGTCCTCTCTTCCTGACTCCGCTGTCGCCCTGCTCCTTGCTCTCTGCCTCGCCCTCACGGAGGGCTGTCTGTCGCCTTCACCTCACGCCCGAGCGCAGCTGGTCCAACACCGTGTGTCCGAGTGTGACACCGAAAAGAACCCTGCAGAGAGCCGTTTCTTTTGTTTGTTTGTTCTCCAGCGCAGTACAGCCAGGGGCATAGACGGCGCCAATCACTGCACGGGGACGGAGAATCCGCCAAGGCCACCAGGGGAGCACACGCCACCGCCCCTGGCGAACAGACAGTAACCCTGCTCGCGCATCGCCGCGCATCGCACCTCCTCAGCAGCTGACATGTCGCGCCAGTCGGGCGCAGCTCCCGCAGCGCCAGACGCGGCCCAGCCGCCGTTTCCCAAGGGCGAGCCTTCCCCCACGAGGCAGGGGCGCTCGGCGAGCGGAAGGGACCTGGTGCGCTGAGGCACGACGGGGAACTGGAAAAACGAAAACTCCTCCTGCTGCTCCTGCTCCTGCTCCTGCTCCTGCTCCTTCTCCTTCTCCTTCTCCTGCTTCTGCTGCTCCTGCTGCTTCTGCTGCTGCAGGGTATTATTCATGACGCACACGTCCCCGAGCTGCCTCCAGCTCGCATTCGCGAGGTCGTAGATCGCCTCCTTGTAGTCGGAGCACACAGGCGCACCGCAAGCTGTCGCCAAGAGCTTGACGCCCTCGGGGCCAGCCGCATCCTGCGCAGCAATCGCCGCAATTCCCGCCGCGTCAGCCGCTGTGATAGCGTCGGGGAGGGGCAGGTCCAGCTCGACCAGCCCCGTGTCGCAAAGAATCGACTGAGACGCCATCGCGCGGATAGAAACGGTTCCGCGAAAGTAATCTCCCGACGAGCTGAAAAGGCCTCAGTTAGTAGGAAGTCCGAACCGAATCGGCGAGGCTTAGATGGTCGTCGGGGATTGAAGCTGGTGATCAAGTGCCAAGGGAAGTGCTCCTGGGCCAGAACCAGAAGTGTGTGGCAGTTTGTGGCTCGAGCGCGAGTTAGAGAGGAAGCGAGGTGGATCCTCCTGAATCGTCTATGTGCTGTGGTGGAGTGCGAGGGGTGGAGTGGAGAGGAGAGTGCGAGTGGTGAAGTGCGAGCTGGTTTGTTGGGTTATCGATTCTTCTACTAGAAACAGGCTTAGAAAGGGCGCGTGTGTGGGTGGGCTGGGCGGGGAAAGGGATGGGGGAGGAGAATGGAGGGAGAGGCGTGGCGTGGCGAGGCGATAGAAAGTGTGGCTCTAGTTCTGCCAACACTGAGGGGCGCAAAGAGCCGAGGATTTGGGGCTCGTCCCCCCCAACGCGCTGCGCGCAACGCTGCAAGCACAAACGCGACCACTGCGAGCGAGCAGTCGGTTTTCCATCTGGCCAGAGCCAGACCAACGATCCTTCGCGTGCAGCTTGTGGGAGAATGGGAATGGGAAGGAATGGGATGGGGTGGGGAGAGGAGAAGGGGGAGGGGAGAAGTTGGGTGGGTGGTGTTGTTGCGTGGAGGGAGTGGTGCTGGAAGGTGAGATGAGTTGGCGTGCACCGCAAGCAGTCCATTCGAGTCTTCTACTGTACTGTACGTGTATGGCGGCAGGAAAGATGGTACTGTAGCATGTATGGCATGGCTAATGGCATGGTATGGGATGGGAGGAGAGGGAGGGAGGGACCATGGTGCAACAAAACGGTGGATGAATGTTTGGTTGGATTGGATGGGGGGGGTTGCGGGGGGCGGTGAGGGGCGTCCGTCCATCCGTAAAGAAGTGGTCCATCTCCTCTCCGCTCTCCATCCATCCGTCCGTATCGTCGCAACGCAACGCAACGCAACGCAACGCAGCAACAAATCGCGCGTGCGAAATGTACACACAATGTCCTTGCGGTCGTTCACCTCCCCGAGCCGACCCGCCCGCCCCGCCGACCCAAGTTCAACCCAGAAGCCCATCTATCTACCCGGCATGATTTTGCAGTGTTCGGCGACAGCAACGATCTGCCTTGGCCTGTCCCGTCCTGCCCTGCATTCGTACTGGTCAGCAGCGTTTCTGCTCGCCTGCCCGTTCGCCGCCACCACCACCATGCGACGAGGCGAGCGAACTTTCCACGCGTTCACAAACGACGCGTCAGCGCGCTGCGAGAGATGTTCCAACGCTGCGTTGGCTCGATGACCTGGCTGGGCCTTGCTGGCAGGTTCTGAGCATCCCCACGTCAGCGAAAGGGTCGTGTGAGGTGTGATGGGCCTTGGTCGTCATTTATTGCGGCGAACCGTAACAACCCTTGGCCTTGAGAGGAGAGGCGAAATGCTTTTGGGCAGCACATGCGGCTCTTGTACCAGAAGACCCAATAACGAGGCCGAGGCCTGAGATTGAAACGGGTGGCGCAAAGCCCCACGTTCTCCACCTTAGGCTCTCTCTCATGACATGATCTCGTTGCCCGCACACCTGAACGAGCACGAACCAGCCAAGCCCAGTCCAGTGCAAGCAATTTCAGGTGCCGCCAACAACCCTTGAAGCATTTCTTCCCTCAAATCCGACTATTTGTATTACAAAGGTTGCTACACATTGCTACACCAGTGCGAAGGAATCACATACAACCGATATTACAAATACAAGCTCCTGGTTTCACTAGTCAAGGCACATACAAGCCAGGCTCGCAGCACTCCTGAGGCCACTATCACAAACAAGAGCAAATTTCGACCTAAGATGCATTCTTCACCTCAATATTCTAAAGCGCCTACGGTACATTAGCTATACAATTAGATCCTCTTGTCCTACACACACATACCCTGCTTGTTCACTACCTATCCAGTTGCCGTAGCCCTTCTGCATCTGACAAAAAGCTTATATTGTGCTTGAGAGCCACCCAAAGCCAACATGATGGCAGCTTACCCCCTTAGCCGTTCCTCTGCACCTTAGCTTGACATGCAAGTTGCTACTGACTCGTGCCGCTGCTCTGCTGCTGCTGCTGCTGCTGCTGCTGCTGCTAGTGATGACAGCAGAGATGTGGTGGCAGCAGCGGTTGGTTGGTGGGAGAGGAATTAGTGGTGCGATGAGCTGGAGGACTGCAGGACGGGTAAGGCACAACATGGGGGTGGGAGTAAGAGGCATTGAGGTGTTATGTCAAGCATCGACCAAAGGTTATTATTGAGGCACGCATGAGTTTTGAAGAGAGCAGGGAACGTTGGGAGGAGTGCACACCAACGATTCCAATTTATTTATTTATTTATTTTTGAAAAAAAAGGTTAAAATAAGGGAGTTAAAAACCTTGTATGCTCACCTTGGATCGTCCCCAGTTGCGAACCCCTTCGATGAGGGATCCCGACCGCGAGTGCGACTGCTTATGCCCTCCTCTCTTCCCTCCTCCTCCCCCTCCCCGTCCGTGCCCACCTCCTCTTGCACCCGCTGCTGTTCCTTCCTCGTTTCCTACAACTCCTCCTCCACCCCCTGCTCCTGCTTCTGCCCCTGCTCCTAAAACTGCTCCTGCTGCTGCCCTCTCACTCTTCCCCATAACACCAGCAGGTGCAGACACTCCACCTTCCCCTTCCCCTCGCCCTGTCTCCTCCCCATCCTCCCTCACTCCACTTGTGTCTCCCGTACCTACGCCCCCCAAATTGCTGCTGCTACCACCCACCTGCTGCTGAATCTCCTCCTCCTGTTGCTGCTCCTGCCCCTGCCCTTGCCCCTGCCCCTGCCCCTGCCCGTGCTGCTGCTCCTGCTCCTGCTCCTGCCCTTGCTGCTGCTGCTCCTGCCCCTGCTGCAGGGGGTGGTGGTCCAGCCCCCCTCTGCTCCTGCTTGCATTGCGCAGCACAGCAGAGACGGAGGAGGCGACGGTGGGTGATCGGAACACACCCAGGGGGGGCCCGCACCCCATCATGTTCATCTTGCCCTGGATAAAAGGCGACGACGGGGGATCCGCCTGGGTCAGCGACCCCTTCACACTGCTGCTGCTGCTGCTTACACCAGCAGCAGTAGCAGCAGCAGCTCCACCCCCGTCAACACTGCCATTGTTGCTGCCAGCCCCACCAGCAGCAGCAGCACCACCGCTGTTGCTGCTGCTGCTGCTCACAGTGGCGTCGGCCTGTCCGGTAGTTGAAGGAACCGGTGTGCCTCGCGGGCTTAACGGGACACTATGGTTGGCAGGGTGGGACGGCATGGAGAGGGAGCGGGTGCTGGAGCCCAGAGGAATGGCATGGTGGGCAGCAGAGGAGGCGGATGCAGAGAGTGGGAAGAGACGGCGGGAGGTACCAGCAGGCATTGACGCGGTGCATGCTGTGTCGGGGGATGCTGATGCTGATGCTGACGATGATGCTGTTGACAGGGGTGACGAAGCTGCCTGCTGCTGCTGCTGCTTCTGCTGGTGTTTCTTGCTAAAGACCAACCTAGAAGGAGAGGTTCCCATGTTATCATTGGCTACCCGCCAAAACCCCCGACCGCGTCCCTTCTTCCCTCTTGCAGCACCAGCACTACCACCAGCACTACCACCAGCACTACTGCCACCAGGACTACCAGCAGCAGCAGCAGCAGCAGCGCCATCAGCAGCAGCAACAGCCACGGCAGGCGGCGGGAGATTGATGGCGCGCGGGCTGTGGTTGGGGCTGGCAGGGCGGAGGGGGCTGTAGGGGGTAGCCGGGCTGTAGGGGCTCAAAGGGCTGAGAGGCAGTGACGGACTGTGCACTCCGCCATTCATGCCCATACTGTTCATACCCCTGTGCCTAGCACTGCCCGCACTGCCTGCGCTGCCTGCACTCCCTGCACTCCCTCCCCACATACTCGAATTCACAGACGCCGGACTGTCTATGCTGCCACTGGCGCTGAACCCACTGCCATTTGCGGCAAAACCACCCCGAATAGCAGTTCCAGCCCCAGAAGCAGCAGCAGCAGAGGAAGAATTAGCAGCAGGGTTACTGTTACTGGCGACACAGGGGGAGTTAGCTGCAGAGGTGTCGGACTCACTGTCAAAGTAATCAACAACGAGAATCTCGGACCGTAACACCTCCCTCTCGCTCACTATTCCTGCTGCCGTGCCCAGCTCACCCCCTCCTACACCATCCTCACTCACCCCTCCCATCTCTCCTCCTCCTCCTCCACCCCCTCCTGTGACGTCACCTGCGGTTGACCCAGACTCAGAATACAGATCCTCTGCACCCCCACCAGTCGACATCCTCTCGCTCCCCTCCCCATCCACCGTGCTCCCCCCTAACGCCCCTTTGAACCCCGCAAACCCCCTCGGCAACTCCCCCCCCCACCCGCACCCCCACCCGAACCCCTGGGAACGGCTGAGAGGGAAGCAGAGGCGGGCATGCCCCATAGCGCGCCATGCAGATGCGGGGACGCGCCCCCTGCTGGGAGGCTGTAGGCGGGGACTAGCGGGACGAGCCCTGCTGCCCCCCGCGGACTGAGCAGGCCACTGAGCGCGCCTAGCGCCGCCATTGCTGACTGCCCGCCTTCAGACTTGAACCGAGGGTACTTCCCTGCTGCTCCTGCTGCTCCTGCTGCTCCTGCTGCTCCTGCTGCTCCTGCTGCTCCTGCTGCTCCTGCTGCTCCTGCTGCTCCTGCTGCTCCTGCTACTCCTGCTGCTCCTGCTACTCCTGCTGCTTCCGGGGCCACTCGCCCGCCTGCGGCTCCTCGCCCCCTGCCGGCCCCATGCGGCCCTGCAAGCACCGGGCTGAACAGACGGTTCCCTCCCCTCCCGCCCACAGGGCTCATGAGGCCCAGGGGAGGGGAGACAGGCCCGGGCATGGGGACATGGCGCATAGGGGACAGCGGACCATGTGTGCCGACACCCATGTATGCTGCTGCTGGTGCTCCTGCTGCTCCTGCTGCTGCTGCTGCTGCTGCTACTGCCACTCCTCCGGCTCTGGGACTGACCAATCCCAGAGTCCCCATGGAACGTAGCGGGCTGAGAGGGCCGCTGCTGGACCCCATCGACTCCATTGACCTCATTGAACTCAGGGGGCTAAGAGGCCCGGTTGCTGACCCCATTGACCCCATTGACCCCATGGGACTGGGGGGGCCAGTGGATCTATGGCGGGCATTGGGCCCTGCTCCTGCACTCCCCAGCACAGGGCTGCTGATGCGCCCTGTGGACGAGGAGGGGGAGGGGGAGACGGAGTGGGCCACATACCCCCCTGCCCGCCTCGCACCCATTCCCATTCCCCTTCCCCCGCCTCCCATCGGGCTGAGCATGCCCATGGCAAAAGCACTCGAGGCGGTGGAGGTGGACTCCCCCCAGCTTCCACCCCCGCCGCCGCTGCTTGCCGCTTGGCTTCCGAAAGTGGGAGTGGTGGCAGCAGGAAGAGTGGGAGTGGTGGCGGCAGGGGTGACAGGGGCGAGAGGTCGGGATGGCATGGGACGGGGGGAGGCCACTGGGAGCCAGGGGGGGGCGACGCCCGCTGCACTGCTGCTGCCTGCAGCCGCTGGGAATACATCCAGTTGAACAGCGGGGAAAGCAGCAGCACCAGCAGCACCAGCGTTTAGAGAAACAGTAGCAGCAGCAGTAGTAGCAGCGGTTGCTTGAGGTGGAGCTATGACAGCAATGGGGACAGCAGCACCCCCATCGCTGCTCTCGACTGAGTCGGCGTGGGGGATGAGCAGAGGCGACAGGGACAGCGACAGCTTGCGGATCAAACTGCCTGCCGGTGGACCGGCAATGGCAATGCCCCCTCCTCCCGCCACCCTTCCCAGACCAGCAAGAGGACCAGTGGCAGTAGCAGCAGGAGCAGCAGTAGCTGTTGCTGTGGCTGTTGCTGTCGCTGTTGCGGTCGCTGTTGCCTCAGTGCTCCCCCCATCAGGCAAGAACTCAAAACCTGCTGCCTCAGCTGCTGCTGCTGCTGCTGCACCTGATTCCCTGACCCTGGCCTCTCCTGCACCTGCTCCTTCACTTCCTCCTGCCAACGCTGCTGGGCTTGCTGATGCAACGGCAGGAGGGAGAATGGGAGGAGTGAGGGGCGGAGAGGGTGACGAGGGGATGGGCTGAGAGGCAGGCAAGGAGGGATGCTGTGAGGAGGAGGGAGAACGAGCGGCAGCAGCAGCAGCAGCAGTGGAGGGAGGGGTCCACGGGGACGCAATGGGAGCAGCGGTCGCGGAGGGGGAGGCCGGGGTGACAGTGATGGCGTCGTTATGGTCCGAAACCGCGCCTAGCACCGCGCCCACAGACAGGGGGAAGTTATGTGTGCGGAACACCCGGTGCGCGTACCCTCGCCTGCTCAGATGGACCGTGCTGGCTCCCCCCTCCCCTATGCATGCCGTTGCTGTCACCGCCACTGCTGCTCCTGCCGCTCCTGCTGCTGCTGCACCTCCCCTTCCTCCTCCACCGTTCCTGCCCCCAGCGCCTCCCTTCCCGGCTGCCTGCTTGCCGTTCTGGAAAAATATAGGCAGCTCAAGCTCCTGGAGGATCGACACATCCGCATGCACGTCCAGTCCGCCTCTTCTCCCCCCTCTTCCCCTCCCAGCACCCCCACCAACACCACCTCCTCCTCCTGCTCCCCCTCTCCCTCCTCCTCCTCCTCCCCCACCCCCCCCCATCCTGCTGCCCCTCACTCCATCCGCGCTCATCCCAGCCCTCGGGGGAGGCAGGCCGAGAGGGGACCCGGCCGATCGGGTCCCCCCGGGTGAGCCCCCCCCAGGGGAGGCGAAGCCGCTGACCTCGCTGAGCAGGCGCTTGGGCACACTGCGCGCCTTGCGGAAGGCAGCACGCCGCGCACTCGTGGGACTGAACGTGCCCGCTGCTGCTGCTGTTACTGCTGCTGCCTGGGATAAATGGGGCTGTGGGGATTGGTGGTGTTGGTGGGGTTGGTAGGGTTGTTGTGGTAAGGGAGATGGCTGCTGTGATGGTCCTGGTGATGGAGCAGCAGAGCCTACTCGAGGTGACGCCTGTTGACTGCGAGAGGGCACGGGAATCGCTGCTACCCCTGGCGGTTGCTGTGCTGTGCCCCTACCATCACCATTGGGAGCAAAATACGAGGCAGAACCAGTAACCATACCAGCAGTACCACCAGCAGTACCACCAGCAGCAGTACCAGCAGCAGCAGTACAAGCAGCAGCAGCAGAAGCACCACAAACGGCCCGTCTAGCAGCGAGGACCTTATCCGGTCTGTCAGCAGGATCAGTCCAGGTGCGGTGAAACATAGGGCCTTTCCCCGCAGGGGACACCAGCCCTAGAGCCATCGGGTCATAACCCACTCCGTTTCCCACCCTTCCTGCTCCCCCCCCCCCCTACCCCCCCTGCCGCCACTCCTCCTGCATGGGCAGCAGCACCAACAGCAGCAGAAAGGCCTGAAAAGGACATGGAGTGAGCCCGCCTCTCCCTGCTTACACCGCCACTGAATTCTGCCCCATCTGCACTACTTGCTGCTGGGGATGACAAGCCGGAAACAGGCTTCACAGCTGCAGCAACACCAGCAGCAGCCTCTGCCGCAGCTCGTTGCCCAGGGCCGAGGTGGATCGAGTTGGAGTGCATGAGGCAGGGACCAGCGGGTTCCTCCGGTTCACCTGGACCCCCAGCAGCAAGCGCAGCACCAGCGGCACCAGCAGCACCAGCAGCACCAGCACCACCAGCAGCAGCAGCAGTACCAGCAGCAGCAGCAACAGCAGCAGCAGTGGCAGTGGCCTGCACGCCGAATGCGACGGGGCTGTGATTCCAGGGGAGGTTGCCGCTCTTGAGCAGCGCCACTGCTTCCCCCTCGTCCTCTGCCAGGTTGTGTGCTGGGACTGTGAGGGATTTTTGCAGCTTGCGCAGCCCAGCCACCCCCCCCTGCAGCCGCGCTGCCATCGCACTGCTGTGCCCACCCCCTGCCGCTACTGCTGCTGCTGCTGCTGCTGCTGCTGCTGCTGGTGCCCTGGGACTGGAAGCAGCAGCAGGAGCAGCAGCAGGAGAAGGGGCAACGGGACGAGGTGAGGCGAGAGCAGTGGCAGAAGTAGCAGCGGCGGAATCAGGAGATGCGGTGCCGGAAGTGGAGAATGATGGGGAGTTGAGAGCACCAAATCTCGGGCTACGGAGGCTGGATGAGGTGGGGGAGAGGGGGATGCGCGAGGGGGACGGCAGGGAGAGGCGTCCGTGCCGCAGGTTGACACCGGGAGAGGACCATCCAGGTGACTGCTGTGCCTGCAGCACCTCCTGTAGCAGCGCAAACGGCTGTAGCGGCTGCTGCTGCTGTTGCTGATGGCTATGCTGCTGATGGTGCTGCTGATGGTTATGCTGGAATGGGTGGGGTTGCCTAGGGGAGGATGCCACCGGATGGGGATACGGCGGGGGTAGCATTCGAGGGGAAACAGGTGACCTGATAGACACGTCCTCCAGGCGCCACCCGGGCTCACTGGTGGACTTGCTCAGGGCGCGGCCCTGTGCGACCGTGGCAGTGTGGATGGCCACCGGGGGGGGCCGCCCACTGCTGTACTTGCCGTGATGCTGCTTCGAGTGCTTCTGCTGCCCCGCTCCTCCTAGTCCCCCTACTCCTCCTCCTCCTAACCCCCCCCCTCCACCTCCCCCCTGCCCTGCTTGCTGCCGCTGCGCTTGCTTGTTTGCGATACCTTGACCTGGCTGCTGCCCCTGCCCCTGCCCCTGCAGCTGCTGCTGCTGCTGCTGCTGCTGCTGCTGCTGGCGGTGCTCCATGGTGGCCCGTGTGGGGCCCAATGGCCGAGGGCTCACAGGCTGGGAAGCAGCAAGCGCAGGAGAGTGGAATAACGATACCACTGCCTCGCCCTCTCTCACCGCACTATCACCACCTCCCGCTCCTCCTGCTCCTCCTCTCCCTCTCCCTCCCCCTCCCCCTCCCCCTCCCCCTCCCCCTCCACCTCCACCTCCACCTCCACCTCCACCTCCCCATCCTCGTCTAGACTCTGAGAACATCAAGGCAGCAGGAGACGAGGCACCAGCATCAGCAGCACTGGGGGCACGCGCAGAGCCTTCACCACTGTCAGATACAGCCCCTCCTGCTACAGCGACCCCTGCTACAGCCCCATCGACTTCGTCCACTGTAGCCAGGCTCGCAAACTCTCGCACGTCAGCCCGCGCCTCGCCGCCCCGGCTCACAGCACCGCTCTCAGACATGGAGCGACCAAACCCTAATCCCCACTCCACCCTCGACCCCGCCCCTGACCCTAACGCCAATTCTGATCCTGATTCTGATCCTGATCCCGGCCAGTGCATGGCGGCCTTGCTGCTGCCTTCCCTCACCTGCCCTGCACTGCCCCTTGCTCCTCCAGCCCCCCGCCCTGCTGCCCCTGGGGTCCTGGGAGAGATAGGCACCATCCCTGCTACAGCCCCTCCTGCTGCGCCCCTGCTTGCAGCCCCTCCTGGCCGTGGTGAGATGGCACCAAAGGGCATTCGCCCTCCTGGGCCTGTGCCTCTAACTGCTGCTCCCGCTGCTCCTGCTGCTCCTAAATGGTCTGGCCCTACGCCTGCACCTCCTGCTATCCCTCTGCCCACTGTGCCACCATTCCCCGCACCTCCTGCAGCAGCAGCAGCAGCTTCACCTCCTGCTTTCCCTGCTGCTGCTACAGATCCTTCCACCGCTACTCTTCCTACACCTCCGGATGCTCCTACTGCTCCTACTCCTACTCCTGCTCCTATCGCTCCTACTCCTCCTGCCCCTACTGCTCCTACTCCTACCATTCCCACAGTGTCAACCGCCCCTCCAGCAGCAGCAGCGGCAGCAGCAGCACCCGCAGTGGCTGCTAGCATGTCGCACACCTCACCTTCCGGAACAGGCGTGACCGGCCTCGCCTTGCCAGGGAAAGCGTTCCTCGCTGCTGCTGGTGCTGCTGCTGCCTGTGCTGTGGGAGATGGCTCCCCATGGCCGTGCTGCTGCTGCTGCTGGTGCTGGGGGGAGCAGTGCTGCTGCGGAGAGTGCAGCTGTTGCTGTTGTAGCTGCTGCCGTTGCAGCTGCTGCTGCTGCTGCTGCTGCTGGCTGTCTGTGAGGCTTTTAGAGCGGAACATGGTGCTGGTAGGCGGAGGAACGCCGCCCCTCGGTGGTCTCCTCACACCCATAGCCCCGCCCCTGCTGCCTCGTGACGAGACACTCCCTGGAGTCACACTCCCTGGAGTCACACTACCAGGAGTAGGCGGCCCAGGCGAAGCACTGCTGGATGAAAAACCACGAGGAGTAACGCTCCCCAGAGCCAATCCGCCTGCTGAGTCCAGCCACCGCAGCTGCTCGCCCTCCTCTCCTCCTCCCCTTCCCCCTCCTCCCCCTCCTCCCCCTCCTCCCCCTCCTCCCCCCCTCCCCCTCCTCCTCCCCCTCGTCCCTGCGCTCCACCCCTTCCTTGACCCCTCCCCACACCGTTGCCCCCCCCTCGATTACCAGTAAACAGAGCACTTGTAGCAGTAGCAGTGGCAGCAGCGGACGAGCTAGAGGCGGGAGATTCAGCAGTGGTAGCAGCAGAACCAGAGGCAGAGGCAGAGCCAGAAGCAGAGGCAGAGCCAGAGGCAGAGCCAGAAGCAGAGGCAGAAGCAGGCCTGCTCTGGCCCATCTGAGCAGCTGTATACCCGCCCCTGGCAAGATCCAGAGCTGCTACTGATTCACCTGCCATCGCATCGCTTGCAACGCCATGCACCCCGTTACCTGCTACTGCTGCTGCTGCTGCCCTGCTGCCATGGCCCACAGACGCATCGCCTGCCGTCCTTTGTGTCACTACCCCTTGCCCCAGCGCGCCCTGTCCCCTTGCGCCTTGCCCCACGGCTCTGCGCCCGGCACCTGGGGTGGCTGAGGTGACAGGCCGTTGTGTGACCCGACCCCCTTGCCCTTGCCCTTGTAAAACGTCGCCTCGCCTGCTGCTGGCAGCGCTGGCGCCTGTATTCGGCCCCTTGTCGCTGCTGCTCCTGAACATCATAGGCCGACCCTCGTTCGCCCCCACTGCTGGTACTCCTGCCGCCGCTGCTGCTACTGGTGGTGCTGCTGCTAATGGTGGTGCTGTTGCTGCTGCTGTTGGTGCTGGTACTGCTGCCACTGGTGAGCCCCACGGAGCTGTAACGCCATGGGGACCTAGAGAAAGCGGGGAGCCAAGGCAACCCGGGGCAGCAGTAACACCAGGCGCAGCGGCATCACCACCATCATCATCTCTCTCAATCACCAGCATGTCAATGCTGCCATTCGCATCTGGAGCACCCCTTCCTCCTACCAACAGCCCTCCTCCTCCTCCTACTCCTCTCCCCCCTTCATCGCCTCTTCGTCCTCCTTCTCCTCCTCCTCCTCCACTCCCGCTGTCTCCTCCGCTTCCTCCGCCTCCTCCTGCACTTCCCGCTTCTCTAAAAGCTTCCACTTCCATTCCCACCTGCCATTCCCGCGCACTCATTGGCCCCCACCGCCCTTCCCCGCTCCCCCCCCTCCGCCCCACCTGCTCTTGCGCAGCGCCCTCTGCGCGGTCTCCACTACATCCGCAGACGCGCCCCGCTTGTGCCCCTCAATCGCGCGCAGCATCACTCCGCGCACCCCCGTCACCAGCTGCGGGCTCAGCAGCCGCGGAAGCATACCTGCTGCGCCCAGCGCGTTCCTGTTCCCAGGCGAGCCTGCCGCGCCCTCCGCGAAAGCGCCGTGCGCGCGAGGAAACGGGAGCGCGGCGTCGAAGTCCGCCTCCGGCATAGAGATCGTGCGGCGGAGGGCGAGCTCACGCGGATCCGCCCCCCAGGGGTGTTGCGGGGAGAGCAGTCGATGCTGGCGCGACTGAGGCGGAACGTTGGGGGAGGGGACACGAGTATGCGGGGAGAGCTGCGGGGAGAGAAGCCGGGGCTGGGGAGAGTGTTGCGGGGAGAAGAGGCGGGGCTGGGGGGAGCGCTGGGGGGAGCGGTGGGGGGAGCGATGGGGGAGCGGTGGGGGAGCGGTGAGGGGAGAGGTGCGGGGAACGGTGAGGGGAGAGGTGCGGGGAGCGGTGAGGGGAGAGGTGGGGGGAGCGCACTGAGGTGTGCTGTGGTGAGATTAGGCGAGGCTGTGGGGAAAGCTGCGGGGAAAGCACGCGCCGTTGCGGGGAGAGCTGCGGGGAGAGCTGCGGGGAGAGCTGCGGGGAGAGCTGCGGGGAGAGTAGACGAGATTGCGGAGAGTGCTGCGGAGATAGCAGGCGGGTTTGTGGGGATGTAAACGCGCGGCGGGGAGAATGCAGCTGGTGGGGAGAGCGCTGTTGTTGAGACTGCGTAGCTCCTTGGGGATGCACGCCTAGATCGAAAACAGCAACTGAGCTCCCTGAGTTTCCCCGCCGCTTCCCCCACAACAACTGCGCAGTTTCCGCGCTGCTGACGCGGCTGCTGGGATCTGTGAGGTTGCGCGTGAACGGGTTTGCATGGACGGACGGCAGTGAGTTAGGGCTCCGACCAGGGCTCCGACCAGGGCTAAGACCAGGGCTCAGAACACCAACACCCTCGAGAGCTCCTCCCCCTCCCCTTCCTCCTGACATTCCCGACGTGTCTTGCCCCGGAACTGCTTCTGCTGCTAAGGACGTGCGATCGAACGGCACCTGCGGAGCCATGGCGTCCTCGGTCTCGCCGTTCTCCCACGTCGACTCCGCCCATTCCACCAGCTCGGCGCGCCTTGCGGCGTCGACGCCGGCGAGAGAGTTGCGAAGCATGGCGAAAGGGCTCGCTCGCCGGACGACCTAATCGTCGTCGTGACGGGTCAAAGCACGTGAGGTCGGGACTGGGACATGGGCCATCCAGCAGGCGCACCGGGAAGAAGGCTGCTGCATTGTGCGGCTAACATAGCCTTAACATAAACTTGTTGAGGAAAGCACGTCCTGGGAATTTCAGGTTGAGCTTCCGAGGGTACGTCGATTGTTCAGACTAGGTTGCAACTGATGCCGCCTTTTCGCTTGAGGACCTATGGGGCTCGCTGACCTAATCTTGCATTCGCGTGCACAGATGGGTTTCACAATTGCCCGAAGCTTTACAGGGGAAAGAGAGGCAAGGATACAGTTGTAGTACAAAGCATAGAGCAGGGTGACGGCAAGGTGAAGAGGAGAAGGTGGCTGGATTGTTAGTCGCTTGCTCCAATGAAGGCCTCTGCTCTGTTGAAACATGAGCTGCTTGTTTGCTGGGATGGTTTGAGACGAAACTAGTCATGGTCGGTGTGGTGTAGGGTACGTCATATGCCTTCGCTTTAGTCCGGTTTAGCGAGGTGCAAAGCGTTTTGAGCGAAAATGAATGCTTGCGGCGAACTATTAAGAGTGAGCCAAGCAGGAGCAGCGGTGCAACAACATGGTGGCTGCACCACGGTGCCTGGGGGAGGGCAGGGGCCTTTCGCAGAGGGCCTGTTTCTAGTAGCTATCATCCTGAAAAAGTGTCATCCGAGAATGCTGGAAACCCATCGCAACCGTTATTTCAAATATTCAACGGTTGCGATGGGTTTCCAACATTATCGGATGACACTTTTCCGAGATGACACCCATTAAAACACACCCTGAGTTTGATTGGTCCGCCTTGTTTTTTTGTTTGTCGTTCACTGGTACTATCCGGGGAAACCCCTGAAAGACCATATTAAGTATAATAAAGCATGGTGGTGCTGACTGTACATGGGTCTTCACCACATTTCCGTAAGCTTTCTAGATTTTCATGGCAAGAGACCGACAATTCTAGGAGTTCTTGGCGTCACCCTCGAGCCACTATCGCCATCCACGAGCTGGCCGAAACTTTTCACGAGGTCACACAACAATTCGTGGCCAATCAGAAAGCAATTCCTCGCCAAGCTCAGCCTCACTTCCCACTCGTGGTGTTTACAGTAGTCTACGGATCAGTTGTATTGCCCCAAAAAAGGTGAATTAGCAGTCGACCAGCAATTATCTAACAGCTAACAGAACCACCAACAGCGAAGCTTGCCTTCAGCTCTCTTTCCTGAATCCTCATCACATCACGCCCAACCACCCCCCAGCGGGGCTTGTGATTCTCCCCTCCCCACACGTCCACAACTCGAACCATAGGCACCTAGGTAGTATCTTGGACCTCCTGCTTCGCTGCATCTATTCTCGTCACAGCCCAGTCTTGGCAGTCAATTTCAGGGGCTCTGGGTCTCAGGGACAAGAAGTCGTAATGAGTATGCGGTGTCTATCAGCCATGGCGTCGTTTCAGCGAATCTGACCTTTCGCGAGGGGAGCAAGTACCACATTCCCACATGGCCTCGTGCTGTCGCCTCGCCCTCTCGAGATGTGCCGGGCGTGGCAAAAAGGAATTCCTGCCTGCGTTTCTTCTCCCCTTCCTCCTCCTAGCCGCTCCAGTTCCGTCGCATTGTCTTGTCCCGCACACTCCGCATTCTCCGCACTCTCCGCACTCTCCTCGCTCCTCTCCTGCCACCTTATCGACTAGCTACGCACCCGATGCTCGCCGCTCCCTCCTCACCACCTCCCTCCTCCCCTCCCGCGACTTTCACTCCGCTCTAAATTCCGCGATCGCGCCTGAAGCCACTAGGATTGATCCCGGGATCCGTGCCGAAATTCGCGCTGGCAATGGCGGTAGTCGTCGTGAAAATTCTGCTCTAGAGCCCTCCGCCACAGATGCCGCAGGCCCACGCCGCCGGTTGCTGGGAAGGGGGAGGGGCGGAGGGGAAGGGGGAGGCCGCGGAGATCGTCCCACGAAGCTAACTATCTTCACAGCGCCACGGCCGTTCGATGGACCAGCAGGCACCATCCAACGGCTCGCAATCATCTCCTGGCTCTGCATCGACCCCGCGCCTGTTATCTACCTCCTAGGCAACCACCCGTCGTTTAAGGACGCCGAGACCGACCCGCTTTTTGCGGGCCACGTGTTAGCCGATCCTTACGTGGACGCCGATCTCTACGGTCAGCCGCTCTTTAACTCCATGCTTGCTCGCGCCATGGCGGCCCCCACGCGCTTCGTCGCTATCGTCCGCCCGTCTACCCTCCTCTCTCCAGACATCTTCACCGCCGCGATTGCCGCTGAGGCGCGTTTCGGCAACTTCTTGCTGCTAGCGCCAGAGCGCGGGCGTCGGGGGGACGCGGAGGCGGCTTCCGCGGCGGCTGCGGCGGCGGTTGCGCAAGTGGGCGGAGGCGGAACGGCGCAGCAGCGCATGGACGCGTCGATAGCGGTGGACGCGGAGAAGCTGGGGGAGGCTGCGCGGCGCATGGGGGAGATTAGTTCGCGATCTAAAGTAGGGGTATGGCTTTGGAACGTGTCGCCCGCGCCGCTCTGTGCGTCTTCCGCAGCCCCCAACGGTACCCTTCTGGACGCCGCCGCCGCATCCGCATCCGCCGCTGATGCGCCCGCGTGTTTTGTTCCGCCATTCGCCTTCGACCGCGGGTTCCACGACGTGTGGCTCGCACGCGCAGCTCTCCGCGCATCCCCCGCGGTCGCCGCCTCTTCCGCCAGTGGGGGCGCAGACGCGGGGAGCAGCGGGTCGGCAGGGCGGCAATTGCTGGCGGATGCGGACGGCAGGGCGTTCGCGTGCATAGCAGCGCGAGCTATAATCTCCCCAGATACTCTTTCTAGTGTTTCCGTCACCGCCGCTGATTCCGATCAAATAGGGGGCGCGGGGGGCGGAAGCGGGAAGGGCGATCGGGGGGAAGCGGGGTTTGAGGTTTTAGCGGAGGAGCTGCGCAAGTGGGGGGTTTCTGTGGCTGCCCAGACCCTAATACCTTCCATGAAGGCCCCTGCACGGGCAGAAAAGAAAATTGTGAGGAGAACGTGGAGAGGAACAGTAGTGGAAGAAGCAGTGGCGCAGGAAGAGAGCCTAGAGGCGGCTGGCGCGCTGCTGCCCGCGCTGAGAATTTGGAACTGCCCGTTTGGGCGCGGGCAGGGGGACTGCGAGGAGCATCAGGAGGGGAGGCGGAGGAATCCGCATAAGCAGGTGGTGGTGAACTGGGAGCTGGTGAAGAGGTGGAGGGAGGGAGGGGGAGAGGGAGGAGGGGGGGGCGCTGGTGATGGTGGTGGTGGTGGTGTTGTTGGTGGTGGCAGTTCGGGAGTGTGTGAGTCTGCATGGTTGGTGGTGCCGTGCAATGGAGGGCAAACAGACGGCACCAAAGGTACGGCACCCATCAAAGAGCTTCCGAATGGTTCCAAACTGTTCCAAATTGCTACCTACCCATAGTAGTACCCATGGTACACTCGAGTTCTCTCTCTTTTCTCTCTTCCTCAAAACCCACCCTTGGTGCCTCGTTCTACAGCAGTGAAACCTCTATCTATGCTTTCTTGCGTGAGGAGTCTATTATTGAGGCGCCTCAAAAATTGGAACCTCCATGTTTTCTTCCCTCAACTCCTCTCGTCCTCCCCCCCACACTCACACACCTCCTCTCTCTCACTACCCCTCTCGCCCCACCCTCCTCCCTACTATCTCCTGTCTTCTCTGGTCCACTCGTTTGCATCTGATCTTACCTGAGCGCAGAGTCCAGTCCGATACCCACACACGCCACCCACATCACTCTCCCTCTCCCTCTCCCTCTCCCTCTCCCCCTCCCTCTCACTCTCACTCTCCCTCTCCTTCTCCCTCTCTCTCTCCCTCTTCCTCTCCCTCTCCCTCTCCCCCTCTCCCTCTCCCTCTCCCCCTCTCCCCTTCTCCCTCTCCCTCTCCCTCTCCCTCTACCCCTCTCCCCTTCTCCCTCTCCCTCTCCCTCTCCCTCTCCTCATCTTCCCACACCTGTCTCATCCACCCTCCTCCTTTCCCCTCCATCCCCCCCAACCCCCCCCCCCTCTCTCCTCCCCTCCAGTGTGCTTCTCCCCCTCCGCCTGCTGCCAGCAGGGCTCCACCACCTTCAGCTCTACCACCAACCCTAACAACCCCCCCTCCTCCTCCTCCTCCTCCTCCTCCTCCATCTCCTCCTTCTCCTCCGTCCTCACTTCCGTCTTCTCCTCCTCCGCCTCGTCCTTCCCATCATCCTCTGCCCAAGCGCCCTCCCAGTGGGTGTGCAGCGTGGCGTCAACAGCAGCAGGGAGCGGGTTTGGGGGCTCCGGGGGTCTCTTGCACGTGCATTCCTCGGGCTACCTCTCCCCAGACCATGACTCCAGAACAGACCAGCACTTAATCGACAGTAACACCTCCCTTGACACCAGCAGCAGCAGCAGTGGGGCGGAGCTACAGCGCAAGGGGCTGGACGACCTGCTCCCGCTTGCCGTGGACCACCGCAACATCGTCATCCTCGTGGCAGCCACCGGCTCCTACGCCTCCATGCTCATGTCCTTCGTCTGCAACCTACGCCGCCTGCTCCTCCCCCTCCCCCTCATCGCTGCCTTCGACGACGACATGTACCGCTTCGCCTCTCTCCATGGCCTCCCGGTCTTCCGAGCTGACACCGGCCTGGCCGGCCGCGATCCCTCCTGCGTGTACGGCACCCCGTGCTTCCAGCGAATCACCAAGGTTAAGTCCAGGGCGGTGCTCCAGGTGCTGAAGCGTGGCGTGCACGTGCTCTGGTCGGACGTTGACATAGTCTGGTTCCGGGACCCACTTCCGGAGTTTCTCGAGTTCGGGTCCGGGGTGCTTCCGGTGCAAAGTGACGCAGGGTACGATAAAGAGCCGCCCAACGGACAGGGTCTGTCCTCCCCGCACGGGTTCATCAACTCTGGATTCTACTTCGCTCGAGCAGAACCGATGGTCATTCAGGCGTTCGAGGCGATCGTTGCCCACGCCGCCACGACCCAGACGTCCGAGCAGCCGAGCTTCTACCACGTGTTGTGCGGACCCAAGGGGGAGCACACGCAGGGCGAGGACGAGTGCGAGTGGCCTGGGAACGGGCTCCGGATCCACTTTATGGACCGGTGGTTGCACCCCAATGGGCTGTCGCACCGCGTGTGGTTCCGCCGGTGGCCTGCTCTGGAGTGCCGGAAGCACAGGTGCGCCACGCTGCACAATAACTGGGTGCGGGGGAAGGAAAACAAGCTCGCTCGGCTGCGCAAGGGCGGGCTGTGGTTCTATGACCCGGATAATGACATGTGTAGATACAACTGGTACTATGAGACAGAAGGGATGAAGCGTGAGGAAGGCACGTTCCTTGGAGTCAAAGACTGATGGTTGGACAGTACAGTAGATTGGCTGTGCTGCTGCTCAGTCATTGCCTACGGTAGGTTCTGGTGTATGGGGTTGTTATTGTTAAAAGTGTTCTACAATGCTAATTGATCCTTGGAACCTTCTTTCAAAGTGAATGAATGACTTGAACCATGGGCATACAAGGGAATATAACCTAGTGGGCTGTACTCTCTAAGGCACAACCTTGTATAGTCTATAACAATAGACCCCCTAGACTAAATAGGGAAAGTGCCTGGTGAGAGACAAGCCGCTCGAGGTGGCACTGTTCAAATTATATAAGTTATAATTTAATATAGGCTTGGTAGGTTGTTACTGAACCTTTCTGTAGGGGGTACAAACCCCTCCTTGTACTCCCCTCTCTTCCTAATCCAACCCTCTTCTCTCTCGACACTCTCGTCCAGCTCCTAGCTAAACCCCGCCGCCACATTCATGGCGGCCTTGTTCCTGCCCAGTATCCTAGCCTAGAGCTACTTTAACATGGTAACAAAGCAGGCCGTTTCCGGTCCTGCCTTCCACGCTTCCGCCTCGTCCTTGTCTTACGTTTCACTTCGTACCGTGCCGCTGATGGCGGCCTTTCGTTTTCCTGCCGCCGTGGCGGCCTTGCCTTTCCGTGCCGCCGTGGCGACTTCTCTGAGATGCCGCGGCGACTTAGTCGAGCTACAGTCGCACCTCCGCCTCGCCGCCGCGGCATCGACGTCGCGCTGTGGCGGCGTCTGTTGGCTGCCGTGGCGGCGTCATCGGGCGACAGCCGGCCGCGCATCGTCAATGGTGCCGCCGGACCTGCCGCCCGCTCTGCAGCCGCCGGCGTGAGTCTGGACTACGCCCCGTGCCCCTCTCCCCCCCCCCCTCCCCCCCTCCTTCCCCTGCTTCCCCCCCTTCCTTGCTGCAGCCAACGACTGCCTCATGCGGGCCCTCCCCACTGCCAAGGTGACTGGACATGCCGCCGAGAGGGCGGGGGCCGCTGCACCAGCCTCTGCCGTTCATGCCGCCGCTGCCGCCGCTGTTGCCGCGGGCTGGGCGCCGCCGCACGCCGCCGCCGCCGCCGCTGTCGTCACTGTCGCTGCTGCCGCCATTGCCGTCCCAAGGGCCGTGGGAGCTGCCCACTTCCGGATTCGTTGCGGCTCCTGCTGGGAATGGGGGTGCTGGGCTAGGGGGTGTGGGTGTGGGTGTGGGTGTGGGTGTGGGGGTGTGAGTGGGCTTGACACTACCAAGCCTAGGGGGTGTGTTCAAATTATATAAGTTATAATTTAATATAGGCTTGGTAGGTTGTTACTGAACCTTTCTGTAGGGGGTACAAACCCCTCCTTGTACTCCCCTCTCTTCCTAATCCAACCCTCTTCTCTCTCGACACTCTCGTCCAGCTCCTAGCTAAACCCCGCCGCCACATTCATGGCGGCCTTGTTCCTGCCCAGTATCCTAGCCTAGAGCTACTTTAACAGGCACTACTAGTCCAACCTCTGAGGCAAGGGTCTAAAGACCACTCACACAAGTATCGTATTCCCCCGTATATAACACCCTAGGGTATTGTCAAAATTTCATTAAAAAAACGTATGGGTGTTAACAGTAGGTTGGAAAAGTAAAACACCCATGTCTTATGTAAAATGCAAAATGAATTTGGGTTGTAACACGCACTCTGAGGCTAGAACTTCACTGAGCATCTGCTAACGAGGAATCTGCTACAGAGATTGCGTACTCTGACAGGGTCAGTTTGGTGCCTTCGAAAACGGTGGGAGATTGATGCTGCAGCAGTGCCAGGTGTCATTGACCAATCTCATATGAGTGTTGTGAACAGAGTCACGACCATTGCTGACGCGATCGAGGTGGTTCAACAGCAAGATGGACGGTCGAGATCCTCTCGACACTTTTTGTCTTTCGATTTCATGTTGCCACTTGTATTGATTCTTCTGCCCGTCTTAGCGCTGCGAATGGCAGCTGGGGCGATTTTAATCGTGTTCGTTTTTTTGCAGCTGAGTGAACCTTGGTAATGAAGGACAGAATACTATTTGAAGGCAAGAAAAACGTGCAGGGTGTTATGTAAAATGCAAACCCAGAAAAGCGGGTACTCTAAAAAATGTGCCATATCATAAGCTATCCCCCGCATAAGCCACCCATGGGCTGACTATTTCGGTGGGTCTTATATACGGGGGATTACGGTACAAACAAGGCAAGAGCAAGACCAGGGCAGCACTACTAGTCCAGCCACTGGGAAGAGGCCGCAAGGCCAATCAGGGTACTAAATATATGAAGGTCTGTGCACAATCAAGGTCCTAGCAAATGAGAGGCTACAGGAACGAGACCTACCGTATTCCCCTGTATATATAACACCCGCCGGAATAGTCACTCCCTGGGTGGTTTATGCGGGGTAGAGCTTATGATAGGGTGCATTTAGGAGAGCACCCGCTTTTTTTACCTTGCATTTTTCATAACACCCCCCACATTTTTGCCACAATGTAATCGATTCAATATTAAGAATTGAAGTATATCATGGAAGGTTCTAGCACGGCTGCATTTGCAGGCCTCAAATTCTAGTCAAGAGTTAGCTACTGAAGCTACATTAAACACTACCAAGGTCTAGAGGGGTTCAAGCCTAGTTAGAAATCAGTCTAATACCTACTCCTCATCCTCTTCGTCGTCCTCGTCGCCCGCGTGCCACGCCTCCACGTTGTCATCGTCGGACGCTATGTCGTCCCAGTCATAGTTGTCTGTCCAGTTGGAGGCCGCCAACACAGCAAGCACCTCTGGCGCTGGCGCCATCTCGATCACGTCGTCATCACTGGTCGTAGATGCTTCTACTGCCGACGTTGCTGCTGTTGCTGCTGCTGTCGCGGCCGTCGTTGTTGCTGCAATAGCTGCTGCTGCTGCCGTCAGACGCGCCTCCGCCATAGCGGAGGACTCTACTACCTCTGCCGAGCCGGATGCCGTCGATGCAGCTTGCGGCACGTCGGAGTCGTCGTCGTCATCCTCGGACAGCTCGTCTGCAGCGGGCTCGACGAAGTCAGCTTCATAGAGCGGGTTCTTCTCGCCGCTCTCCTCCATTTCCGCGTGCACATCATCCATCACTTCCACATCTGACTTGTCCTTCATATGGGCGAGGATGAGTTCATCCTCCGTCTCATTAATGTCGGTGGAGATGCCGCATGTTTTGAAGGCGTTTCGGATGAGCTCGGCAGGGACGGCCTCCCACGCGGTTGCGGTCCACTGTAGCACCACCTCCGCGGGGGGCTTCTTGAGGTTTCCTGGCGGGGGCGCAGAGAGATAAGGCGTAGAAAAGGCTGTCTTTAATAGTCGAAAAAACTTAATCGATGAAAAGAGCAAGCGTCCAAATAGTCACGAAATTTCAGACGAAGCACACGTAATGAAGACAGCGCAGAACGCAGGCACAGAGTGGCAAGGACCTCACATGCGGGTGTTGTCGAATCGCAGCCACACTCTTCAAACCAACCTGTGTAGGACCGCCTCACATGCGCCTTCACATAGCGGTTGATAGCCACGTCGAGTGGCTGGACGATCGGCGTGCAGCCGCCAGGAATCACAGCCCTCGAGAGCTTGAAGAGGCGCATCGCCGCTGACACGCCCTCGGTCAGGTGCCCTTTGTAGCTGTCGAGGACGACGAGGGCTTTCGCCCGACCGCCACGCCTCGCAGGGATTCGCTCAAGGAACGGGACGAGCACTGCTATGATCCAGTCCTTCACGTGCTCCTCGTCCATCATCCTTTCGGCTGCGCACGGATGACGATGCCTTAACACAAGCCAAGACAGAAGCATATCAGGCGGGGTCCATAAAAAGAGAAAGACAACAAGGATAGGACGGGGATTACGATAAACAGAATGAATCAAACAATAAGATTTGAACTCACTAGGGGGGACTCGGATATTGGGCACAGTCTTCCGCTTGAATACGACATACGACTTCAGCTTCTGTCCAGCAGCAGTGACTGCCAGCATGACGGTCAGCCGTTCTTTCTCGTAGCCAGCGGTGTGCACGTGCACCGTCCTTGAGCCGCGGACCTCTAGCGTTGTCTCCTATGGCATCTCCAGAAACAGAGGTGTTTGGTCGGCGTTGATTATCAACTCGTCGGGGTAGCAGTTCAATTTCCGCATTTGACGCAAAAACTCCCAAAACTTCTCCACTTTTGCCTCGCAATCTGCAAGCACAAAAAAATCAAGCACAATAAGCAGGCAGACAGGGAACAATATGCAAAAGTACAAGTCGAATTTGCGAGGAAAGACGGCGTGGAAACACTCGGAGCAATTGAAACTAACTGGTTGTGAGGCGTTGTCCCATCTTGGTCTTCACACGCCTCGTCAAACCCCAGTGCGTGCGGAAGCGGAAGGTCCATCGCGACGATGCTCGCCATTCGACTCCAGGGTGCCGCTTCTTCATGTACTTCCGACTCCACTTCTGCAGGCCGTTGATGGAGACTGCCAGGCCACGGGCGCGATGGGAGAGGAAGCGCTTGTACAGCTCGCACTCCATGTCGAGGAACTTGGCCTTGCGCCCTGAGCCGACGAGACGACGCCTTCAGCCAGCAGCCGCCGCCAGTTTCGCCTTGTTTTTCTTCCACTCGCGAATCTAGCAGGGCTGGACCTCCGCCATCCTTGCGAGCTTGCGGTTGGATAGCTTAGGGTCGTCGTCAAGCTTGCCCAACCAAAAGAGCTTCTCGGTCGTCGTGCGTGAGACTCTTTTGCGCCTCGTCCTGCGGTTTCTGGGGGAGGGAGGTGCGGCATCACGGTTAACGCGAGGAATGTTGGGATGACGCCTAGGCTGAGGGGAAGACAGAATAGCAACTCGAGGAAGTGTCGGCGGAGGCTCAGGCTCTCCGTCGGTAGCCTCCTCCCAGTACAATTCGTCCTCATCGTCTTGCCATGAATTGTCCCATTCAGGCGGACGACTGGGAATCGGCGACGAGGGAGCGGGAGGCGCGGGAGGCACGGGAGGTGCAGGAGGTGCAGGTGGCGCAGGTGGAGCGGGAGGAGCAGGTGGTGCAGGTGGTGCCGGGGAAATTGAGCAGAACGGACGGAGTACGAACTGATTGCCGGAGGGAGGACGATGGGTGCGCGATACACAGAGGCCGCTAAACGTACGCGCTGCCATGG